TGAGATAAGAACTGAGGTGGATTTGGGTGTGTAGTGATGAGACTGGACAGACATTTGTTAGAACAGTTAGGGCTTGAAGAGCAAGTTTTGAGTTATTTTAACCTAGCTTGTCTTAGTCAAAGAAATAAGAAAAATCCTGTTCAAAACAACAAAATGATGACAATTAGTATGATGCAATCCATCAGTTTCGATTGACTTTTTTTTCCTATTCATTGATGGGTCAATTGGTCAAAGCTTCTTGTAATTAAAATAAATTGTTGGACACACTGTGGACTTTTCTCTCCATCTGGCTCTATTGCACACATTTCAAGCCATCCACACAGATTTAGGAACGACATTGTACATCTCGTCAGTGTTTAATCAATTTTCTGTGTCAGTGACCATTAATAACCAATTAAGGTATTATGAGTCTGAAGCCAAACAGTGAAATTTAGCTAGCTAGCTTGCATAACACAACATACAAGCAACGACCAGCGTAACTTGTATTATGAGAATGTTGTTACTACTACCTACTTACCCAACCTGGAAAAAGGGAAAAGCTTAAAAAGTGTACACTCTCTCTGTTTATTGGAGTGTTGCAACATTACAATTCACTTGGCAGATGCTTTTATCCAAAGCGATGTATGTGTACATCTTGCCCAAGGACACATCAGACGTGCTACTCAGCTGGGGTTTGAACCCTTGACCTTCTGGATGAGAGGTGATGACTCTGCCAATTGAGCCACAGCCACCCCACAATTGGGATGGAACTAATACTTGGTGTTTAGACAACAAAGCTTTGTGTACAGAAGTGAGCCACAGGATCCCATAGAAGTCCCTATAAGTTGTCTTGTTCTACATTTGCATTAATGCATGCTTATTTATTTGTAGTAAGTAGATGTGTTTTTATTATGGAAAATATGAATGATAATTTATTTACTTTTTTGTCTCTTTTTTGGTTTTTATTGCCAGAAAAACCTTATCTCCTACTTGAACCAAGTCCAGCAGTTACGACTTGATGCATCTACATCACCACAGAGGATGGTGAGCTGATTTTTCTTATTACTTAAAATGAAGTGATGTGATCTGGCTCCGGCTAATCCAGAGAGGGTCCACAGAAATCAAAGCCAGAGAAAACATCAAGACACAATAGGGCAATATTGACTCTGGGACGCTTTGGTTAAATAAGGTTACCCTTTAACATTTTAATAGCTAAACTTACTGGTAGGCCCTTATTTATCCAAAAGCTCCTTCAGTTGGAACTTGTTACCCCCATACTCTGTTTATAATCCTACTTTATAATCTACTTGAAATATACGTCACATTTTTGCTTTACATTAGGCTATTTCTGTACAGCTTAAAGGTTTCTGATTATTTAAAAAAACACTTATTCCTTAAATGTCCATCTTGTTCACTTTTGCCCTCTTGTCCCTTGTACACCTGGTCCAGATTTGTTAGCGAACAGTTTAGCATTGGAGGAACACTGTAGCTATTTAATGACACCACATGTAACCCATTGAACGGCATAGATGTGTTCTCTGGTCTTTTTGGGTCGTTTGGGTGATTTCAGTGCTTTAAGTACAGCAGATGAGCAATGTCATAGGATGAACTTTGGCTCAAGCTCAAAAGTCCCTCAGACTCGGGAGTGGAAGAAGTTAGGTTGTTTTTTATTGAGCTGTGTATTGTCTTTTATACGACATAAAGTGTCAAATTTAAGAACGATTTAATTATTATTCCTATTATTTGATAGTGACACCCTTTTCATATTACTTTGACATTAGAAATGTTTGTCATCGCAACATAGAAAGGCATCTCTACATACAGTTACTCTTTTCATTAATAGATAACTTTCTTTTTTTTTTAGCACGCTCCCAGGGCCGATAGGTCCTGGGAGGCCGATGAATATTTTCGACACAGTGTAATCACTGTGATGAAGGCTGCTGTGACTCTTATGTAATGTCAGACAGCCTTCCTTTGCCTGATTAACTTATCTTGGGTTCACGTCTGTTATATACCTGATCAAACCGCCATCACATGCTTTTCTAAGCAGGTGAAAGGTGAGCTCGGTATGTTAGCGTTGAGAGATCCATTTTTTGTAATCCAAAGAATTTAACAGACGTTATACGTTTTATTTAAATTAAATCTCAAGAGCCACTGGAGCACCGCTGACTTCATTTATAAATGCTCAGTCTTAATTACAGCTCAAATGGCTTACTCTTAATTTTTTAAACAATAACATTATTAACACTACAGGGCGGTTAGTTGATAAATTGAGCATACCAGAGGCCCATATTTGCTTAACAGGATTATTACAATATAAAACAAAGACAAAAACTGAATTAGTAGGATTGTCAGCATAAACTTTAATCACAAATATCTGCTGTTTTGTCTATTAGACACATCGTGGTTAAGCCACCGCAGTGTCTTCCTTGTAGTCAAAGTGATGGAAAAGATCAACCCTGTTGCATCTTTGAATGTCTCATTTCAAATTAAAACTTCTAGACGGATCAGTTGACGAGTCAAAAGTAATATCCACCTTATAACACTCACTTTTTTATTGTTCCTTTCCTTCCTTAGTAACAAGTTTCTTTTTCTATAGTTAGGTTAATGTTGTAACCTTCGATCTACCTGAAGGTCCTTACTTTACTTTGAAATGAAAGCTGGGTTGAATTCAAATAGCTAGTAAAGTACTCTCAGCTCAAGACAGTACAAAAATTCAAAATAAAAGCCTAAATGCATAATTATGGAATTTCAAACATGCGATTAAAAGTGTGGTTAATAACAATAAACTATTTAAATTTTGTGATTACAAGTTGATTTTGTTTGACAGCCTTTGTGATACATTCATATTAATAAATCAAGTATTCATATAACCTAGAATATAATACTGTGCAAATGTCAAACATATTTGTAAATGGTACACAACATTTTAGCCTGAAACTAGTTGAAAACTTTATTGTCCTCTTTCATGTTTTTTACTTCTAATTAATGGTGAGTTATTCAAACACTTTACTGATGGAAAAGCACTTACAACACACTGTAAAAATAATCCATGACAAAAACAAAGACCTTAACAGAAAACTTTACTCAGGCATCAAAAGTAAAAGCATCTTTTATTCACAGAGACATCTCACCAGCCACATGAACTTAAAGACAATAGTCTGCCCTTACCCATTATAAAGTTCAACTTTACAATCGCACTGAGATGCTGTAATACCTTAAAAACGTTAATGTTAAATCCTTGTATCTCTGTTTAGCTAATGTTATGGCTAATTCAAAAAGAGTATTGTCCTGCTAGCCTCCATGCTGGACAGTAAGTTATGTTATCCTAGCTAACTTTTCCATTTTAGTATAGTTGCTCTGCACAGATGCTAACCTAACATACCCCTTCTTCATCCTTTTTTAATACCTGGCCCCTCTATAAACAACATTGCATACGGATTTTAGTGTTTTACTCGTCTCTTTTTATTGTGTGCCATTTAGGTATGTGTGACTGTTTTTGTTTTTTTACCAACTTCTGGTTAAAAGAAATGACTCCATTCAGAAGTGCCAAAACAAATTAAGTGTCGACTTGAGTCCGGCTGCAAAAGCGAGGGCGTCCCCATTAGTTCCCATATTAAAATGATCATTTTTAGCAGAAATAAATATGTTTACATAGGGAACACATTGTTCTAAATAACGTTTTTAACTTTATGAAGGCTAAGAGTTATGCAAACATTTACATAAATCTGGGTGTCACTAAAGGATTGACATGTGGACGTGTAAGTAGCTGTTTGCCAGGAGGCTATAGGCCAGTCTCAGTTCAAGCTCTTTGCCTGTTTCCAGATTGATCTAAAGTTAGTTTGAGATAGCATTTCAAACAAGGTGACAGCCATTGTTGGACTTCAAAACACCTCTTCATAAAACCAGTGGGTGATGTCACTGAGACTACATCCATGTTTTCTACAAATAAATTATAATAATAATAATAATAATAATAATACATTTTATTTAAAGGCGCCTTTCAAAACTCTCAAGGTCACCTTACAGAGCAGAGATAAAAAAAACAACAACAAGGTAACAACACAACGATAAAATTAACATTAAAAAAGAAATAAATAAATAAAATAAAATAATAAAATAATAATAATAATTGAAGTCCAAGTTATGGCGTGAAATTAAACTAAATAAGATAATGTCATAAAACAGTAAAACACTTTAAGACACGCTCTAGTAATGTGTCAAAAGCAGCAGCGGACCTTGGTTTCAATTCTGTCATTATGATTCATATTGTTAAGAAGTCCTGGGGCAAAGGTTTTCTTACTTTCCTAAAAAGGCTTTCATGTTTTTGTGAGGTAGTTGAAGAGACATTATAGTGTAACCTTTGTTCTAAAATAACATTTAGGGAGGAACTACAGAGTATCCAGGCTCCTTCCTTTTGAGTGTCTTTACACACTAAATCAACCCTCTGAATATTTAAAATCTAAACCTGCTTGATTTTAACACCATATATTTTTAAACATAAAAAATGACAAAAATAAGATGACAGTTAAAACATTAAAGTGCAGTTTGTGACTTTGCTGATTCAATCTCATATCTAAGTCTACATTTGTTTACTGCACTTTGAGCACTGCAAACAAGCAGTTGATGCTGATGATTCACAATATATGAACGTTGAACTGATTATTCTTTGAAGACGGATGATATTTTTATTATTTACTTCAGAAATTATTACCATAATTGTTTTAATTTCTTAGTCATGAATTGTCCTATTGTCTAAAGAATTCAACACCAAATGTGTAAACAAGAGTATAAGATAAAAAGACAGAATCCTCCCCCACCCCATGCTGACAGACATTCTAGTTTCTGAAAAGTTTTAACCTTTGGCCTGCCACAAGGACAGCTCAGACTTTGGAACCAGGGCAACACATTTGCAAGTAATCACATACAGTAAAGCCTATAAAAGCCAGAGCAGTGAACCACAAGAATTAGTCTTCACTGAAAGAGGAAGACTCTCCCTACCTTAAAGCTTCAAGGAGCTTGACTTAAAGCCCATCATGGGGGGTACTAAAGTCTGCCTTTTGCTGCTTCTCGGCACATACGCACTGGCCCGTGAGTATTATTACGCTGTTGTTGTTTTTTATTTTAACTTAGCAAATCAATTTTAAACAATAATAAATATTTGATAATTTGGTAATATTTGATGAATGTTAGTGGTTGTCTGTTGCTTGATATTTATAATGAGGACTTTTTCCTTTAAGTTGTTACTGGTTTTATGTGACAAATTAGAAATGCACTAATGTTTAAGAGCATTCTTAGTACTTTGTCAATTTAATATAAAGGTTCTTTTTTTTAATGACTGAAATGGAACAATTATAGCTAATAAGGATAAACAAATGTTGGTAGTTTGATTATATTGTAATTTTGTATTCTGTTATCTAAGTGTTACCGTATTGTCTGGTGTTTTTAGAACACTATTCGGCTTTTCAAAATGTCAAGCAAACTATTCTTTTTCCTTTCACAGAGCAAGATGTGGGAAGTGTTGAGGAACAATCTCCAGCTTGCTCTTGTAAGTAACTTCATCAAGCTTAAAACTGTTTAATCACTTTTTTATGACATTTATAAGATGTGATTTAATTTGATATACTGAACAGAAAACACATTTTAAGTCCTTCTTATCAGCTAATCTTTCATAAAAGTTTGATTTTGTATTAGGTTGTACATTTTCAGTAATTAAAGTTATATGTCAAGCTTTGTGCCTGTTTTAAACAGACTCATGCCTGAGCTAGTCTGGGTGCATGACCCCAATTTATTTATATATTTATTCATTGATGAATGGTCTTACCTACTCTTACTGGTGGAATTTTAAAATGTGTTTGCATTGTGTGTACTCTGTTGGTAGAATGTCTTACAGATGAAGATTTTTTTGATTGCATTTTTAAACAGGATTTTGTTATAAAGGTATGCAGTGTATTTAAAATAATCATAATAGTGCTTTAACTGATGTTTCAAACAAATTTTCAGTGTCCAAAAGATTCAAGAACTTCAGACGATTTGCGTACGACTACAAAGCTGAGACCTTTAACGGCGTGAATGGAGCCAGCGACAACAAGAGCGGCCCCAAAGTCTCCTGCAAAGTACGTTTTTACATCCCTGTTGTACAGTTACTGCAAACAAACAATTAAACAAAACAGTCCCATAACTGAATTTAAACAAAAGTAAGTTAAAATGCTTGATTTTCTGCACAGGTTGAAGTGGAAGTGCCCCAGACCTGTAGCTTCATCCTGCGCACAACAGAGTGCTCTCTGAGCGAGATCTTTGATGTGGATGAGGCAGGAAACTCCCTGTACCGTCCTGCTGCTGGAGATGAGGCTTTCAGAGATGCCATGGCCAAGTAAGTCCCCTCGTTTCGTTTTGAGCATTCAATTCAGATTCAGCATTTTTCTTCACATTGAACCTTAAAAAGATGTCGCTCAAATGTTAGAAAATAGTCATACATTGCTAGATATTCAATATTTATCTGTTAACAGGAATCCCTTGAAGATCACCGTTGAGGGAGATCTTCAGGTCAAACTCTACCCTGAGGACGATGAGCCCGTCAACATCCTGAACATCAAGAGGGGAATCGTCTCCTCCCTCATTGTGCCAGTCATGGAAGAGGACAAGAACAAGATAATGGTAGCTACCCTGACTGTTTTTTTATTGCCTCGTTTTTGTTTTGTCAGTATTTCCAGCTGTTACCTATCAATTCAGGTCAGAGTCACAAAGTGGAATCTGATTATCATGCAAAGATAAACAAGTTGCACAATGAGCTGATAAGCTGCCCCAGACAAAGGTGATAAATGCTCACATAACATCATGTCCTCAGAATGACTATCTTGAGCTGCAGGGCAAAGTCCCAGATAACTTTATCTTGTCGATGACCTCACCTGCTCTCATAACAGGGAGGCAATCTGTCAGATCAATTGATAATTCAGGGAGGCTACTGAAAGGACAAAAACATGTTTACTCATCAGTCTCTTGCAACTCTGTGAGGTTAATTGTTGATGATGCCTGTTTTTTTGTTTTCAGTCCACCGTGCATGGAGTCTGCCCCACCGACTTCACTGTCAACACCAGAGAGGACATCGCCACCGATGTGACTGTCACCAGGGATCTTTCCAAATGTGATATGTTCTTTGCTCGCAGGCAGCACACCAGCCCCTTGGCCCTCATCACCGGCATGGTGAGAGACTAATACTGGCAGCGTCACAAGCTCAAGCCAAGGGTTGTTAGATTGGGTGTAGGATTTAAAAATAAATCAAGAGAACAGCACTCATTTTCAAAGGATAAGAGAGGATAATGCATTTAAACACACTATTTTAAAATAGCATATTATTTATAAAGAGCTGTGCTTTCTCTGTCCGACATCCAGTAAATCTGTTTTCAAGCAGAATCTAATAGAACCTTGCTTTTGATTGTCTTTCTACAGAACTTCCCTCTGTCCAAGATGATTGACAGCGCCCAGACTTGCAACTACAAGTTTGACAACCAGAAGAAGCACATGACCAGTGGAGTCTGCACAGAGAAACACATCTTCCTGCCCCTGTCCTCCCAGTAGGTTTAAAAAAAGAAAAAGTGTTTGACATATGATAGAGAAGCAAATTTACCATCTCTCTACACTTTCAAATAAACTCGTCTTTACAATGTGCAGAGGGCAAAACTTTAGATAATACATGACAATTTGTAGTGTAGGTTTGTTCCTATATTTGTGAACAATTTAGTGAGTTTTGCTCATTGCATTTTCCTAACTGGCCTTCATATCCAAACTGAGTTGTACGTTTTCCAATCATGACCAGTTTATCTATATTTATTTGCAAACAGGAATGAATATGGAATTTCCACGCTGGTGAAGCAGACTGTAACTCTGAGGGAGACCTCCAAGATCAACGACAGAATCTTTGACCGCAGTGAGTGTTTAAGTTTTTTAATTACAAAAAAATGTGAAGAGTAAACCTTACATATTTAATAACATGTAAGATTAAAAAAAAGCCTGTAAAATATCAAAATCTGTCATCATTTTCTGCATTTTGTAATTGTTCGTGATTCACTTCCTGTGCAGATGAGGACAACCTTAAATACCTGTCCATGGATGTTGTTGATGACAAGCTCCCCGTGCAGACCACCGATGCTGCCCTGGTCACCATGCAGCAGCTGAACACCCTGTCTCAGACCAATCAGGGCGAGGAGCGCGCCGCCCTCTTTAACAAGCTGGTGTCTGAGATGCGTGGCCTGAACGTTGACGTTGTTGGATCTGCTGCCGTTGAGATGATGGCTGTCTCCGAGGCTCTGACGTTTCAGGCTCTGGCTCAGTGCGGCACCCCAGAGTGCACTAGTGCGCTGCTGAAGGTTCTCAGGAACTTTGACCAATCTGCTCTTGAGGTTGATGCTGCCGTCTACGCCATTGGACTGCTGCCCAACCCCTCCCGACTGATGGTGAAGGACATGCTGGCCATGGCTCAGTACAAGCAGAGCAAACCCATCATGTATGCCCTGAGCAATGCAGTGAGGAAGTAAGTACATCTATCTTCATATTTGGGAGCTGGAAATTGTGTTTATACCATATAAATCACTAATCACTTATTTATTCCTTAGACTGTACCAGGCTGAGGGTCTCACCCCTGAGATCACTGCTGTCTCTGAGTATATGACTACCATTCTGGGCCCTGACTGCCCTGGAGAGAAGGATCTGACCTTCCTGTCCTTGAGAGTACGTTACCAGCTCTGAAATTCAGCCACTTACACAAAAAAGGTAAAAATCTTTATGGCAACTTCTGGTACCTTTTTTTAAATTGTCTTTCTTTCCATCCAGGTTGTTGGAAACATGGGAGATGCAATGGAGGCTGCTGACCCAGCCATTAAGACCATCCTGCTGAAGTGCATGAGACAGCCTGCAACCACCCTGTCTGTGCAGCTGGCTGCCATCCAGGCTTTCAGACGCATGACTGTGACAGATGAGGTAACAAACATCCCTGTTTACAAACGATTAGTGTCCTAGATTATACATTTTAGTGTCACTAAAAACAATGACAAACAAGTAACGGTATTTTTTTTTCTCCAGGTTCGCGCTAACCTCCAGAGAGTCAGCCAGTACCCCAAAGGTGCAGTGCAGAAACGCCTGGCAGCTTACCTAACTGTGATGAGGAATCCTCAGGACAGCGACATTGAGATGGTAAAGAAGCTGGTTACGCAGGAGCAGAACGTGCAGATCAAGTCCTTTGTGACCTCCCACATCTACAACATCATTACCTCCACCGACCCAGAAACCCAGGAGTAAGAACAGAGCCCCTTTCAACTGACAGCCAACTTCAGTCTTGATTAAATGGTTACCCATTCTGCTGATGCAGTGCATGTATATTTGGCTGATTTTGTCAAATGTTATTGTTCCTCCAGGCTTGGTAGGAAGATAGTGGATGTCCTGCAGGACACTGAGGTCATTGCACACGGTGAATACAGCACAAAGTCTCGCAACTACAAGCTGAGCGGCATTCAGGGAAACATCGTCTTTGATCCTAGCAGCCAGATCCCAAGGGAGGCGTTGCTTGAGACTACACTGAATGCTTTTGGTTTTAGCATGGATGTTTTGGAGGTATGCAATATTTTTTTTTGTCTTGTTTACACTTACCAGAAACTCAAGCAAAGGTCTTCTATTTATAACAATGTAAAAGTGAATATGTGGTTGGCCTAGATTCACACTCAAACACACTAAACTAACCATGTTTTACCAACAGATTGGCATGGAAGGAAAGGGCTTTGAGCCAACCATTGACGCTTTGTTTGGAAAGAATGGATTCGTCCCTGACACCGTGTCCAAGGCTCTGTACTGGGCTGATGACAATATGCCACCACAGGTCAGAGAACTTCTGAGGAAAGGGTTTGGTCCCATGGAAACAGAAGGAAATAAGGTATATTTGATGTATAATTACTTCTGTTAAAAATAATAATCTGAGTTATGTTATTTCCACTGATACCATCACAGCTAATACAACTTTTTCTTTTTTCTCCAAAGGTTCCTGAGAATCTTATGAGAGAGGTTGCACGAAACTTCAACAAGCTGGTTAAGGATCTGCAGAGTCAGGAGTCCCCAGAGGCCATGGCCTACCTGAGGATCATGGGAGCTGAGCTTGGCTACATCAAGGGCAACGAACTGAAGTTTATTGCTGATAATGCAATTATGTATGCAGAATTCTTCATGAGGATCCTCCCTACCAAGGTACTGTTCTGTTTGCAGGTTGTAAATGTATGAAAAAGCCTGTCCAACAAATAACAGCTCTCTTCTGAACAACAGTGGTTGAACATTTAAAGTGACTTTTGACTCTTTTTATCAGGTCATGGCTCAGCTGATGTCCAGCACTGACAATGAGCTCTTCGCCCATTACATCTTCATGGACAACAAGTTCATGATGCCAACAGCATCTGGCTTGCCTCTGACATTTGCTATGTCTGGCACATTCGCTCCTGGTGCAAAGGGAGGACTGCATATTGCCCGTAAAATGGTAAATGTTAAAAAATATATATTTTGAAGTTTTTTTAAAATTATGCCACAGCTCTGTTGTTAATGTGCTTCCTCAAAAAAATCATGATATTTTATTGAAATCTATGATCATTATAAAAGTTCCATATAAATAGTATAAACGTTATTTTGTAAGAGATTAAAGTTGCATGGAGAAGAAGTGTTCGTATATTTTTCATGATTCTGCACACTTTAACATTTGATTGTATTTGTCTTGGCTTCACAGAATGAGCTGGTGTTCATGCCATCTATTGGAATTGAGTTTGTGACTAAGATGGGAGTCCACGTGCCTGAATTTGTTGTATCCACTGTTGAGATGCACACCAACATGTACCATGAGAGTGCATTCAATGCCAAGATCACCATGGAGGGTAGCCAGGTCAAGCTTACAATCCCCGCCCCACAGGGCACCACAAAGCTCTTCACCATAAGGTGACAAAAAAAAACACCCTGATATTTCATATTTAGTCAATTTAATAGTTGTTTGTTGTAGTATTTCAATTGCATATGTATTGCCTAGTTTTGTGTTATGCCTTTGTAAAACAGTTGTAGATAAGGTTTAGTGATAATTACATTTTCAATGTCTGCAAAAGAAAAGAAAATGTGTATGTTCAGTTTTCAGATACAGAAAACCAATTTTGCTGTTTGTTTTCTCTGTCATAGCAATAAGGTGCAGATTGTGGGCGGTGGTGTTGCTCCAGTGATCCCATCCAAGGAGGGTGAAATTAGCTGTGACACTCTCTTTGGAGTTAAATACTGCACAGAAACAAGCCGTGCTGACACTCGTGGCAAGACTGACATTCCTTTCTTCCCCCTGAATGGAGAGACCAAGTAAGTCATTCTGCAAAGATTTAAAAATGGATTCTTTTTTACAATTCTGTGTCAATGATGGCAACATAATGAATGATTATAATGTTTTTAAGCCCCAAGAAAAGTGTGTTTTTTAGTTTTGTTTCATCTGTGTATAGTTACATCAGTTTGCTTAGTTTCATTTGGAAAAATAATCTTGATTGAAATATAATTCATGTCTAAACATTGATATACATCCCCTCAAGTTATTAGCTCTGCTACCATATAAAATCCACTGCTTTACTTTCTGAGGTGGTATAATACGTTGGATTAATATCTTTACATGTAATGACATGCCAGTAAGTGTGTACATACAATATTGTATGCAAAATGTAGGTAAAGTTTGGCGTTTTTGATGTTTTCTTAATTCATGGTGCTATACCAGTTAAGATCCATTTAAAAACTCATCAGACTTCAACTTGTCTCCAAAGGTTTGCTCTGCTGATCAAGCCCTCTGAAGAGGTCTCTGAATACACAGCCACCATCGTCTATGAACACCTCAGTGAAGGAGAGGATGGCCTCCAGAAGATTGACTCTTTGAAATTCGCCTTGAGAGCTGAGGGTATGAACTTCTTATTTGGAAAAAACATCTAAAAAATAAATTAGTTATAATTCATTCATAACAAAACCTCCTTATTAATTTTTGAGAGTTTCAAGCATGAAAAATAACGTTGTACTTCCTTCCTTCTTTCCTTTTTACTTATTGTCCTTAGGTGCTCAGCCTACAGAGGCTACAGCCACCATGAAATACAACTATTACAGGAATGTCTTCACCACCGAAGTCCAGATCCCTGACTTTGATGTTGAGGCTGGTGTTAAGGTTGGCATGACTGACAGCAGTGCCAAAGGCAAATCCATTACACTTGAGATCTCCAACAAGAATGTGCCACAGATCTCTCTGACTGGCAGTGCCAAGTAAGTCAGCCAGGCCATAAACTTAAGTCAAACAATGAAATAAATGTAATATCTTATCTAAAAGGAGGTACTCATGTAAACAGTTTTTCTGAATTTTCTTCCAAAAGTTGACATTGTTTTTGTTGTTTTTTCATAATTTAAAGGCTTCAGGCCATGACTGATGGCATGCTGCAGGTTCAGCTCTTGGTCCCCTCACTTAATACCGATGCTGCTCTCACTGCTACCATGAGCAATTCTGACGGACTCACCATGGAGATCAAAAGTGAGGTGAAGCTCCCAGAGACCTCCTCCATCCAGGCAGTCACATTCAAATATGGTAAGTCTGTAAACCATGGTGATAACAGACTTCAAAGATTAATCATTTCAGGAACTCATGATTTCTCAAAAGTCCAGTTTCAAATTAGATGATAAAATTCTGAATGCTTTTCATCTCAGGTGAGGAGCAGGCTGAGGTTCAGCTGATGTCTAACATGAACGCTGATACTAAGATCCTGGTACCTTACACTGAAGCCCTCCAGGCCTGGCTCGTGCAGTTTGTGGAGGATGTTATGGACCAGCAGGTTGTCAAGACTGACATGAAACTGCGTCATATCTTCAACAAGGCAGTTGAGGTAAAGATAATGTAATTTTGACCATTTTAGCTAAGTTGACTTAGTCCTTCCAACCTGTAACATAAAAAATGTGATATTTGATCAACAGGCCAGCAATATCTGGATGGACAAGATCACAACTGATGTCCCCTATGTTGAGACTCTGAGGAACAAAATGGAAAATGTGGAAATGCCTTCCATGCCTGAAAACATATTCATGAACCTGTAAGTAAACCCCCACATATAGTTATATGGATTTTGCTAAAATTGCAACTGATCCTGATTAAATTTGAAGACAAGTACAATAATATTTACTAACCATTGAACAACTTTTCTTTATTTGTCCTTTCACCAGTGAAAGCACATTTAAATACAAGTTCAACAAGGACCGTCTGACCATCACTTTCCCTCTGCCTCTTGGTGGCAAATCATCCAAGGAGCTAATGATTCCTCCAGTGGTCACCTCCCCAGAAATTTCTATGCCTCAGTTGGGCATGAATGTTGCTTCAAAGGAGATCAGGATCCCCATTTTCACCATCCCCTCTGAATATGATCTCACCCTACCTCTGATGGGAATGGTGGAAGTGACCTCCAAGGTCAACACCAACTATTACAACTGGGAGGCAACTGTGTCTGCTGGAAACAACACTGTCGAGTCTCCTAACTATGTGGCCAAGTTCAGCATCATGGCTGACAGTCCTATCAAACTTCTCAGCTTTTCAACAGAGGGTAATTTAATCTCTGTTCTTTTCATTTAAATTGTTATTTAACTCAAGATAAACAGTAGAAAATTGTAACTAATTCATATTTTACTGTTTTTTCTATTTTATAGGAGCTACAACAATCACTGACACTGCAGAGAAAACTATGAAAATGGCCATTGATGGTTCCCTAAACCACATGCTCATGAACACTGGTCTTAGTGTGCTGGAAACCATTGCTGTCACAGACACCGTGTTGACAACAGGAAGGTACAATGTGTACGCTGTATCCCCTGTGGGTCTGGACACTTCTCTGACTATCACCACCCAGGTCGTCCTAGCCAACGACATGCTCTCTGGAGATATCAACACAGACGGAAGTGTGACTGTTGGACCCATGACGGCCAGCACCACCTATCTCCACACCTTCTCCGTTGAGCCATTAAAGAAAGAAGCAAGATTGGAGAGTACTCTGCGTGTGAACTCTGAAATCCTGAAGGTTGTGAACAAAGTGAAGGCATCATATGCAAATGAGGAGCTTCTGATTGAGTCCAACACCAACATGAACAGTGACCCCATCAAGCACACCACCAAAATGAGCCTGAGCTACAAGGATATCAAACTGACTGCCCAGGCTGACTCTGTGACCAAGGCTAATGAGCGAATGCTTCGTAGCCAGATCGAATTCTCTGCTTCTGAAGGACAGGCAGGCCTCAGGATAGAAAATCAAGCTGAAGACACAGAGAACCGTGCCTACTCTTTGCTCACTGGTACCATGAACCCCTCTGGTGTGGAGATCAATGCTGATGCCTCCTTGAACATCTTTTCAAGCCTTGCCTCCCACAAGGCAACCCTGGCCCTGAACATGAATGGCCTGACCACCAGCTGTACAACTACTGCTCAGCACAGCCCAATGACCTTTGAGAATGTTTTCCATGGTGGAGTTGACCCTAATGGTGCCACCATGTCTCTCACCACTAAGGCAGCTATTAAAGATAACACCGCTGAGCTCAGTGTTGAGGGAAAGATGGCAAGTACAGAAGTGTATTTCAATGGCATCCTTAAGGGTAACCTCTTTGACATAAACACCAGAAACAGAGTGAACCTCAGACTGAATGAAGATGGCCTGGTTCTCTCCAACAACATTGTTGGATCTCTCCACGAGATGAGGACTGAAAATACTCACTCACTGTCTCTTTCTCTGAGATCCTTCACCCTCAACTCCAAGACTGACAACGTCCTTGACAACAGAAACACCTACATGCATGACATCACAGTTAACATGGAGCGTTTTACTGCCACAGTTATGGTGAAAAATGACCTGAAGATCATGGAGGTTAACTTTGTGAATGAAGCCCAGTTCAAGGCCCAGCCTTACAACTTTGAGCTGTCTGGAACAATGATGGGAGTCTTTTCCGAGGAAGAACTCAAACACATGTATGAAGTCAAGTTTGTTGATGCAGTCCTCTCTGCCAAGAGCAACACCAATGGTAAACTCCTGGGCACTCACATGACACATACCACTGATATAGAAGTTGCTGGTCTGACCACGAAATTTAACAATGTGGCCAACTTCAACTCACCAGCTCTTCGCCTGGAAAGCACAGTAAAAGCTGTTGCTGAACCTTTCACTCTGAACATTGATGCAATTCTCAACTCAGATGGTGCAGTGTATCTGTATGGACAGCAGAGTGGCGACCTGTACAGCAAATTCCTCCTGAAAGCAGAACCCATGCTGTTCACACATTCATTTGAATGCAGAGCCTCAACAACCCATGAACTGGAAGGCAGACCAACTATTAAGACCAACATGGACAACAAGTTCAACAGCATGCTAAGCTTCCAAGAGCAAAGTGTCACACTGAAGGTTACATCTAAAGTGAACGAGCACACTTTTGATCAAGAAATGAGTGCCTATAACAACGCAGAGAAATTGGGTATTGAGATGAAAGGAGAAGCCTCAACCCCTCTCTTCAGTGAGGCAAGTGAAAATTATGCAATCTCTGGATTTGTTAATTATGACAAAAATAGTGAAAGCCACTTCCTCCAGATCCCATTCATTGAGCATCTGCCTGCCTTTATTGAAAACATGAAGACCACAATGATTAACCTGATGGACCAAAGCATTGAGATGCTGAAAGATATCGACATCAAGTATGAGATCAGCACAAAGTTCCAGAACAAAATGTCGGAACTGAAGGAGGTCATTGACAACTTTGACTTCAACCTCTTTGTCCAAGACCTGAAAAAGTTTCTCACCTCAATTGAAAACGTTTTGACCAACCTGACAGCCAAGTTGCCAACTGAACAGGTTGTGAATGTGTTGAAAACAGTAAAGGACACTATCATGGCCTGGACCAACAAGTATAACATTGCTAACAGGTTTAATGTGATATATGCCAAGATTGAAGAGATCCTCTCCAGCTATGAGGTTGAGAAGATGATTGGGGCCATCATGGATGAGGTTGTCAAAATTCTGAAGCAGTATCAGGTGAGGGAGAAGATCCAGTCTGTATTTGTTGCTGTAAGGTCCATTGACATCAAGCCTTTGCTCAAAAGAGTTATGGTACCTCTTCAGGAGCTTGTCAACGAACTGTATGCCATTGACTTCAAACAGCTGATCGATGATATGAGTGACTATTTTGTAAGAATGGTCCAGAAAATCAAATCCTTTGATTATGACACATTCACAATGGAGTTGAAAGAGAAGGTTTTAGATATGAGCAAGATCCCCTGTTTTGGAAAACTCTCTGGAGAGTTTAGAGTTACTTCACCTCATTACACACTCAGGACCTCTGCTGCCCTGGAGAACACCACGACTACATCAGTCACACCTGAGTTCAAAATGAACCTCAACTCCCAGGCTTCTTCTACCTTGAGAGTCCTTGACTTCACTGTGGATGCAGGTGTTCATTTGGCTGCACCCAAGATGAGTCGCCTCTCCATTTCTGAGAACATCAAAGTTGACCAGTCTTGTTTTGCTCTTGACCACAAAGCAACAATGAATCTCTATGGCCTTTCAGCTCAAACTTCTGCTGAAACTACTGCAAAGGTTAATACTGAGCTCTATGTTGCAGAGCTTGTAAATACTGCATTCTTTGCCATGGAAAATGGAGTGTCTGCCAACACGGAGACAAGCTACACACATGAAATCAACCGCTTTGGTAAAACATCAATGAATCAAAAAGCTGTCTTTGTGGTTGAGGCAGGGACTGTAACTCTGACTATTAACAATCTGGCTGAAGGACAATTCGCAGTTCTGGACTTCTCAGATGAGGCAACTCACAAGAGTGATGTAGAAGTGGTCATGGATCTCCACACAGCTAAAGTGACCTTCACAGGAGCAACAGGCAGCAGCAACTTCAAAATGAGTCAGAATGTGATGGCAGATGTTTGCATTTTCCGCCACGTCATTATTGATGCCAAGTTTGAGACAGAAACACCTGTCATGAGGGGTAGTGTTGCAGAGGTCAAGTTCCAAGCTAAGGTTGAAGACATGAAAATGGATTTCACTGCCTCTCACAATGCAGAGCTCACTGGACAGGTTGAGGGAACTCTCTCAAGCTCTGTGCTTGCTTTGGTCACACCTAGTGAGCTTACGCTTGACACTAAGAACAAGGGAAATGCCAAGGTTGCCCTTCCATTCAAACTGTCTGGAAAGGTGGATCTCCAGAATGACATCTCTTTTACCCTGAACTCTGACGTGCAACAATCTAGCTGGACAGGTGTGGCTAGATTCAACCAGTACAAGTACTCCCATTACTTCAGCATGGATAACGGTGATAGAGAAATTAACATCTTTTCACAGCTTAATGGAGAAGCAAATCTTGATGTTCTGAAGGAGCCAATCACCATTCCTGAAATAACTGTACCAATTTTTGGTATCAAGACACCAAGAGTGGAAGACTTCTCCCTGTGGGAAGACACTGGCCTGAGCAATCTCCTGATCACAACTGAGCAGTCATTTGACATGAACTCCAAGGTGAAGTACATGAAGAGCCCTGAGATGATCACCATTGATATTAATGTGGCTCCAGTCATCAATGTCATCAATACCAATGTCAAGACTCTGCACAAGAACATGCTCATTGGCAAGGACAAGGCTGCTGACATTCTGGCTTCATCTTACGACACAGCAAGATCAGAATACGAAAAATATAGCATTGAGTTGCCAAAAACCATCACAGTCCCTGCCTACAAAGTCCCAGTGATGAATATCGAGGTCTCCACTTTCACCATTCCTCTGCCTGACTTCAGTCTCATCACAATGCCTGCTCTTCATGTTCCATCTGCCCTCAGCAAGCTTACGCTTCCAAAGATCACTCTGCCCGAAATCCAAAACATCAGGATCCCTGTGATGGGTGATCTGACTTATGAGTTTGCCATGAAAACAGCAATGATCACACTCAAAACAGATGCCAGTATTCTTAACCAGGACAGCATAATCATCAAACTTGATGCTTCTTCATCTTCTGAATTTGAGTTCCTGACTGGAAAGATTGAGGGCAACACCAACATTAACGTAGTTGGCGGACTAAGAATGGCATCTGCCCTTTCTGCAAAACATGCAATGCTAGAGGGAAAGCATGAGAGCACCATCATCTTAAGTTATGAGACTGTGGATACCTCCATCACCAATTCAGCAAAGGTCAATCTACCTGCCCTGACTATGGAAATCTACCAAGAGGTAACTGGAAATCCAGATCAAGGCCTTGTTGTGTCTATGTCTACTCCATCTGCAGGACTCATTGCACTCCAGATGCAGACCAAGCGTCCCGCCCAAGTGAAAGCAAGGGTCTATGGTCGCTACCCGGTAAGAAACTTTTGTGAACTTGACTGGTTACTAATAACCTTTTTAATGTTATCACAATGTTAAGAGTATTTCTTTTTTTGTAATTTATCTTTTGTTTCATGTTGCCCACAGTCCGAGCCAACAACAGACATTGATATCTTGGGTCTGAAGATGTCTGTGGTAAACGCTGAGAAGCTGAACCTTCAGACCACCTGGAATATGGAGATGCCATATGAGATGATGCTAAGAATGAAGAAACAGGTGCCCACAGTCATGGAAATGGTGTCCGATCCTGCTGTCAGGACATATAACACAATTTACAGGCATGCTAGAAGCCTTGAGGGTTCTTTTGAACAGGCTAAAGAGCAGGGTAAAGTGGTGTTCAACAGGGCTGTTGAGAATCTTGCAACTGTAGATCCTTCCAATATTATGACAACTGTCACAGATAAAACCATTATGATCCTGAAAAAGTACCAAAAGAGAGTTGGAATGGTTCTTGATGCTGTTGTTAAATTCCTGAGAGATACACAGTTCACATTCCCTGGGTATGAAGAGAGGCTGTCTGGGCTTGACATATACCAGAAACTTAGTGCCTTTGTTGCTGATGTATCTGAGGAGGCTGTTGAAAAGATTCCAAAGTACTTTGTCAACATGTTTACCACAGTCCTTGATTATTTCAAAGCCATTGAATTCACCATCCCTGGCTCTAACTACATTGTAAGCGGAAGGGAAATTCTTGATGACCTTTCTTTATTTTTGAGGAAAATTCAGGACCAAGTCATTGTCACTGTTAGGAAACTGGGAAATATCCAGCTGGAAGACATCATTAATAAATACACAGAATTCATTCAGTTCACTGTTGAGCAAAGTGAGAAGTTTCTCCTGACCCTTAAATCTCAGAATGTAGAGAAGCTCTCCACCTTTGTGACTGATGTATACACTGACGCCATCAACTCTCAAGTTCTGGCTGATGTTGCAAAGCAGGTAGAAGAGGCCCGCAGAATTGTGATGGAATATGTTGAAGCTGTGAAAGCTAAACTCCAGAGTATCTTGGCTGACATGTCTACAGAACAGCTTCAGGCTGATATCCAGTCCTGGATTGACTTAATGGTAAAACGTATTAATGCATTCCAAAATAATGTCATCAGAACTCTTAAGGAAAAAAGCAAAAATGTTGAGCCATTTGTCAGAGTAGGTGATAGACAGATGGAGATTGACATTCCTATACCATTTGTTGCTAAATCCAACTAAGTGACCATTGCTAACAGTGTTTGTGGTGAATGTACCTGATGTGTAAACCAGCTGTTAAACTATTCCATCTAAAACACAAAGCTGTGTTAATAAATGCTCTGTAGCATCATGCGTCTCTCTACTCTGTTTTTCAAATTTGTAATTGTTTATTTCACAGTGAACTCCCAGTTCTGACTCAGCTGTGACCTTTGTGTCTTGTACTATTTAAAAAACAATGTGTGTCATTCAATAAAGACAGTTTGTACCGCATACAGCTCTGTGAATATTTTATTTATTATTCGATATAGGGGTTTGATAACCAAATGTATTGGCATGCTTATTAAATTTTTTAAAGCACAAGAACATATAATTATTATAATGTTTTCATGAAGGTAACATTTAAATCACAATGGATATTTCTCCATGGTGTAATACTGTTAATAGTTGCTTATTATTTTCCTCAAAGTCACACATGTATGGTAACTCATGACAGAAACTGCATACTGACTCAATTTAAATAATGGAATATAGAAAAAATACACAAAAATCTTAATACAACCTTGTCATATGCCCATGAGTCCTTTTATACTCATCCTCGAGTCTAAATTTAGCAGGTACACCAATAGCTGAGAATCTTAGGCGCTCTTTCATCATTAAACAAAGAGAGTTATACAGAAATCGAGCCAGCATGACATTTGTGAAAAATAGTAAAATACTCAAATGTACACAGTCACCCTTCAAAATACGTGACTGTATCTTTCCAGGTGTGTAATGGCTATGTTTAATCAGAGGCCTTGATATAAGTATTTAGATCTTTAAGTTATATATAAGTAGAAATAAAACATTAAATTAAAAATTATATTATGGTGCTTAAGCTTGCAGAACTGAAAGTATGGAAATATGAACTAAATGTACTGAATGAATCAAATGTTGGAAATTGCCCTTGTCATGCCCGTGCATGTTACAGTTTTCCTGATTTATGAAATAATGTGGAAGCACTATTATAATGGTGTAGTTTCCTGGGTGGAGCATAATATGAGCCCCTACTTGGTACACTATTCTATCATAATGTGCCCATTTTATATGCCCTTCATATGTTCTGTATAGAAAACAATAATCAGTATTTTCTAACTGTAGCACTTGGAAGGAAAGGGGAGTAAATGTACAAAATGTATTAAGTATATAGTATCAAACAATGGAAATACCCTGAAAAGATCAAGTAAATGTAAGAGTGCTTGCTTTCAACTACCATAATGTCTATATTATAATTATGGCTCAAATGTATCCTCCAAAACCACCCGCTCTGGCATCTCTCTATTAGTTCATGTCCATAGGATCCCGTTTATGCACGTGTATATTTCAGCCTATGTGCGTGTTGCATGACTTACAGAGTGTAAAAACAGACATTTCCCCTTCCGGGGATCAATAAGGTAAATCTTAATCTTAAAACAGCACAAGATGGTATTAAGTTTTTATCTTTATTTTGAGAAAATGAGGGCAAAGAAGGAAAAAGTTGAGGTGGTTGCACACATTGATTCTTTATTGACTCCCCCCCCCAAAAAAAGTACCACTTGTTCCCTTACATTCTGTATTGGTTTTCCTCACAAATATTCCCATTGCTCCCATCTACCCGTCAAAATTCAGATTAAGTCATTGCATTAATGGGGTCTGCATTTGACACACTGGCCATTGTTTCCCTTCTCTGTTTCCAAGTCAAGAATGATATAAAAACAGTGCTTTCTGATCAGTGAATCATTACATTGAAAATCAGAGGCACATTAGGGGGGCCAGTGTGGGAAAGTTAACCAGTCCAGCACAATGCATTCCTGTGCAGTAAGTCAGCAAAAAGCCCAGCAACAGCAGTCAGGGAGGAATGTGACTTTTACACCGATGTAACTCTAACTGTATTGATACAGGATAGCCTTTTAAACTCAGATGTCTCTTTACTAATAGTACCTTACTGGACAAAAATAAAATGATGTTTGATGGGAATTTCTTTATCTTCGTGTTTTCACCCAAAGAATAACTTGCATAGTGAACTTACTAGGGTTTTACCCTGGATTCCCAGTGTAGCAACAATCCCTGTAATCGATGTTCATAGCTGTCATTTAAGTGATAATCTCCACCATTGAGTAAAGGACTAACACTTTAGAGGAGAAACAGATCAAACAAGGGCTGAATTTATTACACAAGTATGAAAAATATGCTAGAATACATTGATTGCGGTAGCGAGCTTGAAAGCTTCAAAAAAAAAAAAAAAAAAAAGACAAAATTTGAGGTACATTCACAGTCATAATGGAAGACATTGGGTGAAGTTTTGTCTCTTAACCAATCACAATTCAGTTTTACTACAGTAAACAAAGTTTTTACAGTTTCATCAAAAATCCCTATTTCATTTTGATTTTGTCCAGTGTTTCAAAGCCTTTTGTTTGAGTTTGTTTTTAAAAAGGGGGCGTTTTAAAAATCACATGATACTCTTCCATTGAAATCATACCGTGCCATCAGATGGCTTTATCCCATATATGAGTGAATGCTGGCTCACAGAGCTCTGACAAGAACCCACTCTTCTTTTCATTACACTTTCTTAGAAAATGTGTTTCACTGAGAAAACACTCACATGCTTGATCCTTTCACAAGCTCAACCTTCTATTTGAAAAATATGAACCATACTGAAATAAGTTACAAAGAAAATGTCAAGCATTCCTGGATTTCAGAGGTTACTGAGGGACACTACATGTGCTCTAAATGATTTTGTCCAAATGAGCTGTGGGAATTGTTTTTTTTTTTTAAAAACAAGTATTTCCTTGTCCTTAACTGGATACACCATTCACACGTTACATTTTCTTTCATTACTGGTGATGGTGATTAGTCAAGAAGCATTTGTTTTCTCCCACTACAGCCAGCGGTAAGAGTACATTTTAGGGTGACAGCATGCTTAAAAACCTAATAAATAAGATTTTCCTGTTTGTGCACTTAACTGTGAAAAAACATCACCCTAAAAACTTGCAAAACAGCACAAGACAATATGTTAAGCCCTTTACAAGCCTGGCTGAATGTTTAGTTTCTTGGACCTGTGTCCTGTTGCACAGACAAACAAATAAACAACTATTGTGGAGTCAAAAACATACTTCTTGGATGTGGTTCAAACTAACAAAGCGGATTAAATAAATGTGATTTCAACCTGACTTTGTTTCAAAATTGTATAATACTGTGTCTGAATAACTAGTGCTATGTGCTGTGCAATTTCCCAAACGTTATCACTTAACTATAAAAAGTGGACATAAATAATGAGTGCAATTTCTTTATTCTACTTTGCTTATCACAGAAGCTAACCTTGCCTTGGCAGTGAGGCAGTGGCCTCTGCAAACACTTAGAAACACAAAAAGTGAGTATTTTATATCTTGGCTTGAAAGCAATCCTTTACAAAGGCCATGTCCACAGTAGAAGTGGGCACATATCACTTCAACTAAAATGAAGCCTTTGTCCTTTTTTACCCCTCCACCTGTCAGACTGGCACCATGTGACCCACAAAGAACATGCTGTAACCAGTGCATTTCACACACACACACACACACACACACACACACACACACACACACACACATATATGATGATCAAGTGTGCTCAAAACAGCTTGTTTGCAGTCATTAGTTTTGGTTCAGTCTGGGTCGTCTGTTTACAAGGGAGTGTCCCAACCATGATCACTTCCCCTACATGTTCAGACACCGCTCCCAGTGGGAGAAACGTCTCGTCTGCGTGTTGTGGCTCTCCAGAAAAGGTCGATTCACATCAAAACACAGCATTTTAGACAACTTTTGGAGGGTGTCGTTCGTTTTTGTAAGGCTGCTCGTGTTGCAGTCTCAAATACCTCCCAGATCCCCTCTTTGGTTTTGGCAGAGCACTCCAAATAGTCATATGCGCCAATGCGCATGGCCATGCCCCGGCCATCCTCTGCCTTCACTGGCTCGAGCTTCAATCGGGACAGCTCGTTCTTTACGTTCTCGTCGTTGCGCAGATCTTTTTTGTTGGCCACTAATATAATTGGCACATTGGGACAAAAATGTTTAACTTCAGGCACCCACTTTTCAGGGATGTTTTCCAACGAGTCCGGGCTGTCCACGGAGAAACACATCAGAATGACATCGGTGTCCGGGTAGGAGAGAGGGCGCAGCCGGTCGTAGTCCTCCTGTCCAGCTGTGTCCCACAAAGCCAGCTGGACTTGCTTGTTGTCCACTTCAATATCTGCCACATATGTCTCAAACACAGTGGGAACATACACCTCGGGGAATTCGTCTTTGCTGAACACAATCAGCAGACATGTCTTCCCACATGCGCCGTCACCCACCACGACGAGTTTCTTGCGTATGTCTGCCATTCCTGCCGTTTTCCTAGCTCGCCCTCAAATGTGGCATCTGAAAACAAAATGTTCTCCTTGCACTCACTCCAACTACCCTAAATAAAACTCGACGGAGGGGTCCGGTAAGCCGACCTCTTATTCCAACTCCAGAACCTTTACTGGTAAGAACTGCGATCTCTTTATAAAGCACAGGGTGGTTTCCTAAATATAGCAACCCAATCGGAAATAGGGAGGTGAGATCACAGTCTGTAAAGGAAGAGGTGATTGGATCTCATGTAGAGGAGGGTCATGGACCACGAGGACCCACCCGACCCAGGATCAGCTGAAATCAACCCAAATGTAACTGCAACATGATGTATTCGGGGTTTTAGTGTTAGGCCTAGATACTGTGTCATTTTCCATTATTGTATTTTTTTTTATTTAACTGATGTAAATATGTTTGATTTTTAATAATTATATTCCCTGTTTTCTTGAGCTGCTGTAATGCAAAAATTTCAATAAATCAATCAATAAAGTTTATCTTTATTATTTTATTTTTAAATAGGCTATCACGTAACTGCGACTCTTTTTTTATGGAGCATCCGATCATTTAAACATAACCCATAACCCGATTAATTAATTGTGCATCCTGTCTTTATCTACTCCCATACTGAGTCACTATTGTGCAGAAAATTGAATCACCTTATTATTCAATTAAGAAACATGTCAGCAAAAAAAAAAAAACAAGAGTTTTACCTGTCTTGTATTAAAAACACTATGATGGGACCTTAATAATAATCACATTTTAAATAAACCATGAAGCAGATGTTTTTTTTTTTTTTTTTTCCTTCACATGTTGTCAGGCTACAAAAAAGGTACGCAAAGGGGGGTGGGGGGAAAGGTCCCAATTTACACATCGGTGCATTGTTATACGCATGTCTACGTAGTTCACGCTATTTACAGGGAGGGGGCACTATCGCAGGCGAAACTCGTAGCATTGACTATCAAGCCTTTGCTAAAAAAAAAAAAAAAAAAAAATCACCGCTCTCTCTCCAAGGAAACAAAACAATATAGAATTTGGGTTTGACGGCGTGCGACAAGCAGAGACCCCTCTCTCGACACGACAACGCGTGAGTATCCCCCTGGTTTTTTGTGTTTTTAATTATTTCTCCACAGCTCCGGGAAAGGTTTGATTTGAGCCGAGCCGTGGTGTGAGTATTTCCCCTTTTGTTTAGCGGTTAAGGCCCCTCTTGTTTGGAACTTGAAGGGGGGCCATGTTGTTTAGCCTACTGAGTGCTTCTGCTTCATGTTTCATACAAAAACCAACTTGGAGGAAAAAAAAAAAAAAACCCAGCGTTTGCTTCCTCTTAGGTTTTCTTTTCTTGAGCCTCGATGTGTTCAGTAAGGTGCAAGACAAAACAACCTGTCTATTGTCCCCCCGCAGCGGAACTTAACTAGCGCACTGTAAAAATGTACATTAATGATTTTAACTTTGATGTGCAAGCGTCTGAAACCAATAACAAACAGAGCAGGCCGCAGAGGTGAGTGTTAGCTCCTCGGCTAAGCTAACTGCTAACGCTCACTCTTTTTAATGAAGTAAATAGCATCCAACAAGAAGAAACATCCATGTCCCCCCGCTGTGCCAGTCAATTAAGTCACGCCAAAGCATTAAAGTACACCCGCGTTTGAAGCTGCTTTCTTATTAAAACGTGATTTATTCAAATTCTTACTCGAAGCCGCTAAACTAGCTCGCTAATTAGCATCGGACTTGAGGCTAAGTGGTGCTAGCCGTGTTGCTGATGATGAAAGACTCGGGTTTGCTTCACTTGTCAGCAATGTTTTAGTTATTGTTTGGGACATTTTTTTCCTTGCAACAACAACAACAACAACAATATAAAATCACCTGCGTAAAATATGTTTAGACTAGCTGTTCTATCTCAACGTGATGTTACCGTGATGTTACATCAGTGCTAAGTGATCACATGCTAACTGAGGCTAACGTTACTTAGCATGGTCGACACCGCTGTCCACCATCGTTGTGCAAAAGTAACTTGTCGTGTTTTCTGCTTCACTCGTACGCAATCGTGCAAAGGGGCTTTTTATTTAACACCCCGTTTTCTGTTCGTTATCGGCTGGTGGGGGGAAAGCTGTCGTATTTACACGTTTTCATGGCCACCGTAGATCACAGGTGTGTGATCTGTAAAGTGTCTGAAATACTGTAAGTACTGCTGGGTGCATCATTGTTCTCAAATAGACTTCTAACATCGGTTGTTATCACGGCTTGTATAGGAGTATAATACGTGTTTTACCTTTTTTATGAGCATTAAATTGCAAAGTCCCATCATGCAGTTACCTCACTGCGGTTCTGCAGAGTAACAATAACCAGAAATTAGACATTTTTTGTTGTTGCAATTAATTTGTTTTATGTCATTATGGAGGTTCAGAGAAAACTGTGTGTGCATGTTCTCTGAAATAAATATGAATCACATTGTTTCTCCAAATGTTATACATGTCAGCTTTTACAATAACTATCATAGATTCAAGGTTTTTTTTTTTTTTTAATTTGTCACATGCTCATACAGATGTGCAGTGAAATGTAAAAGACTGTTCCGCAAGGCCATGCAATAAACACTCAAATTACTTGTACACATGTATGCAGTAAAATATAATGTAAAATTTAGAAAAGGAAATATTTGAATATACAGAATAATGTAAAGTGTCCAGGGTGTCAAAGTGCAGATTGGAATGTGTGGTGTGTGTGCGTCATGTAATCACAGTTCTGTTTTGTTTAGTTCTGTTTATGTTTTTAACTGAGGAGAGTGGAGACTGACTATATCATGATCCTGTGTTTCATTCAGGCTTTCCCGTGGAATGAGCGTTCCATGCAGCATCCTAGGTATGAATGACGTGGCCTGGCAGGAGACAAGAGGTGGGATGCTGCATGCAAATGGCGCTCCTGAGAGTGGAGGTGTCAGAGTTCACGGTGGAGGGCCCTTAGCCTCAGTTGGGGTAGCTGGACAGGCTCCTGGAGTACCGCATTTACAAGGCATGGACAGGGTTGTTAACCCTACTCCAGGCACCCCGCAGCCCCCTCTGAGTGGACGATCTCAGGACGATGCCACTGTTGGATACTTCTTTCAGAGGCAGCCAGGGGAGCAGCTTGGAGGTTGCCCACCCAGCAAGCATCGTTGGCCAACTGGAGATGCAAACCATGTTGATCAGGTGAAGAACCATAATTCAGTGACCAGTCTCGGTCACCATGAGACTTTTTTTAGATATGCAATACACAGGCTACAACTAGATTAAGAAAATTTGAATAATTCCTCTCCTGGTTAGGGTTATTTAGGGCTTGTAAGTGCAGCATCTTGCTTTATCTGGGTTTTGTGTTTGCACAAAAGATGCAATCTGCAGGCCAAATAGTTGGACTCTGTTACTCACAACTGAAGCTGTTTTCACATATACACTCCTAAAATATCTAGATAATTTCAGGAGGACTGCTCCAGATATTCTCCTGACCTGGGTGTTCATGTATGCTTCTCATATTGGGAGACTATCCCTGTCAGACGGGAAGGGCGGGCGGGGGTCTCCTGAGGTAAGACATGACGTAGAAAAAAAAGACGCTGAAGTAGCGGACAAATCAACAGAGTCCGCTATACGGAGAAGAAGAATCACACTATAAACAAAAGAGTGTAGAACAACATGCGAACAAACAGAAAACGTAATGTGGCAGTTAAATTATGTGCACGGAGATCGTAGCGGTTGCATGCATGCACTTCATGCTACATGCAGAAGTCACGGTATATAAACGTCACTCCCACCTCCCAATGTCTCCAGGTGAATTATCCGAAGAATATCCTGCTGCGTTCTCACATCGGCTCACTTGGACTTGATGCGGGAAAAAATACTAGGGGTCAGGCAGGAGAAAATCTGGGTGAAGTCCAAGGGAAAAATGTGTCTGTTTGCGTTCACACTTACAGCTCCGCCTGGAAATATCAGGAGTTTTTCAGGAGTTTTCTGCAAGTGTGAAAGCCCTATATTTCACATGTTCAGTTAATCTGTCATTTACACAAGTTACCAGGCAATCCTTACCTCCAAATAATTACTTCATCTGGGCATGTTTTAACAAAGCTACAGGAGAGGCATTGCTGATGGGTTTGGCAGTACAAAGATTATACCAACCATGTCCTCAAATATACATTTTTTTTATTCTGTACATAGAGAAATATGCAGTGTTTCCTGATTATTCAAAATCTGTATACAGAGACATTACTGTTGGGAATACTTTTGAGGAGTAAGAGAATGGAAAAGGTCCTTGTTGATGGCAGACTTGTTTGAATTTGGGTGCCACACAAATATTGCTTATCCCAGCTCACACTGGTGTACAGGTGTGTTGCACCATGGCCAGATCACCAGTTCCTCAGAGTGCAAACCACAGCTAATCCAGGTGTGATAAGATGGCAATAGCATTCCTTTTACAAAAACACAGCCTCAGTATTGACTGTGGGCAAAATGTGTTGGACCAGTGCTTTGGACAATGCTTTAGCACAGCAGGAGTGTCATTGTAGCTGTGATAACTTGTAGAATGTTGTCTTACAGTTTAAGAAAGCCATGTCTTTTTTGGCATCTAGAACTCCTTTTTAGAGTTATGGATTTGTTACTAAAACTCATTGTCTGAGTCTTAAATTTAGCCTAATGCAACATGCACATCTCATTTAATGTGCATGAATTTGGCCAACATAAACACGCAGGTATAATAAAAATGTGTTGGAAAAAAAAAACCACGCAGGTAAAGTACCGGTACTTGTTGGAAGTAGGCGTGTTACACAAAAGTCATGGTCTCACTTTGTACTTCAGTTTTAGGCTCACAGTTCAGTTTTAATGTTTGGTACAACTGGAAATAAATCAACAAAAAGTCCTTAATGCTTAGTTCTAGGTTCCTTATTTACCCTGTTTTTTGAACAGCCTGTAGTGTATTAAACATTGACAAAAAAAAAGAGGAAACGCAACTGAAATGATGCAAACAAAAATAAATCGCATCTCCTGATTGGAAAATATAAAATACTTACAATGGAAAATATTAGACACAATAGAAGACAATATTCAGGAGCAATGTATCATTTGTATGGTCACATAGTTGGGCACTTAAAACATTCTCAGCTCGTAGTCTCGCTTTGTAGTGCACATGACTCGTCTACAGCACGACACTCAGACGAGATGAAAGGACTCCTATGTGATTTAAAAAAAAAAAAAAAAAAAAAAAAAAAAAGTATAGATCTTGCACTTCACTTTCAAAATCTTAAGAGTTGTTGCTGCTTCCTGTTTGTATGTGACACTAGGTGGGGCATATTAACTTGCACTACTGTCTGTTCTAAATAAATGAGAGAAACCTAGAAATATGTATTGAGGACTTTTTAAGTTGCCTTTTCCCTGTTGAACCGAACTATGATCTCAACCGTTCCAGCCCTACTGAGTTAATTATTATACTGTCAGGATTCAGTCAACAGGCCGTTGAAACAGCTTCATGTTTTAATAGTGTTTTCCAGGACTGGAGTGTTTGTTTTTCAAAATGTTCAACATTTAAGTTCTCTGATTTCTACTCTTTAATGTGTTTTTAAGCTTTTAACATCCGAATGTGTTCCAGCTCTGCCAGCTTCAAAGATTAAAATGCACAAAGACTGATCCAAAGTATGAACTGCTTTTATTGGCAGAGTTTGGCTTTGGTTACTTGGTAAATAGTATTAATTTAGAAGAAAAACGATATTACTGCTGTTTTTCCCCCATACAAAATAGTTTCTGGCTTTTGTTTGTTTGTGGTTTTAAAGTGTAAAACAAAAATCATTTTCATGACTAATCTATTGAGAAATATATATATATTTTTTTGCCAACAATCCTGTGAAGCCTATATTTTGAGTTCAGAAAACCAAACTATTTTCAGTGAAGATACAACTTAATGTGACCAGGCTGGTTTGTTTTGCTCTGCTTTGAACAGAAAAAGTAAGTTTAGATGTCTCTAGTTTGTGGCCTATAATTAGGGCGGCACGCTTTCTGTTAAAAGTCCCTTGTCCTTTCCTTTGTCTCAGGTCCGCGCTGTTGATGAAATGAACTACGACTTCCAGGCTCTTGCTTTGGAGTCGAGGGGCATGGGAGAGGTAAGGGGTTTTTCATCACATCACATGTCATGTCAGAGTACAATAATAAATCATTAGTCGTGAAAAATGCACTCGAGTAATCACTAAAGAAGCAAACTGAAAACTCTTAAGACTATTTCAAGTTTGGACGGACTAATGTTCAGCTGACTAAGACTACAGTGAAAACATTTCAGCACATTCAGTTTAACCCGTGGTTGTTGATGTTGGTCTTTTATTTATTTTTTTTATTTCACACTTTGCTACACTTGAAGTGATCCTGCAGATGCTTAGAAAATATTACACATTTATTTTCAGCTTCTGCCAGCCAAAAAGCTCTGGGACTCTGATGAGTTGGCAAAAGATGGAAGGAAAGGAATGCTTCTCGGAGAGGAGTGGAGGGACAATGCCTGGGGATCACCTCGTAAGTGCCCCTTTACTATTGGTCTATATTTTTAATACATGTCTTGTGTCAAAGAGTTCATTTTAAGTTGACGGTGCAGCATGTATTCTGTTCAATTAAAATGTCTTAAAAACCTCTAAAAGCCACGCTCTTAGCTAGAACTTTATTTGGTAAGGTTGTTACCCGGATTTAGTTCAAACACGCAAATATTTAGATATTGGCTTCTCATTCAGATCATTCAGTGTCTCAGCCAATCATGGTGCAGCGGCGACCAGGCCAGAGTTTCCATGGGAATGGTGATGCCAATTCTGTACTTTCACCTCGCTCAGAAGGTGGAGGCCTTGGGGTGAGCATGGTGGAGTACGTCCTGAGCTCCTCTCCTGGGGACAAGATGGACGGTCGCTACAGGAACGGAGGCTATGTAAGTGACACGTCTGTAAGAAAATGTAACTCCGGCAGGGGGCTTTCCTGCCACATCAACCCTTGTCTAAAAGGTGGCACATGGTCTTAGATGGTGTTTTTTTTTTTATGTATACAGGGTGGTGGAGATGTTGACCAAGACGGGAGAGAGAAAAATGATGCCCAAGAAAAAGTGTCTCCCTTTGAAGAGGACAAGAGTCCAGAGATGGTCGGAGAAGAGAACGATCCCTCTAAAGCCAACGGAAGAGGACTACTGAACGGCATGGACAGAGACTGCAAAGATTTCAAGTAAGTTTCTTTATTTCTATAATGTTAAGAAAAAAAAATCATTGACTTTTTTGAAATTATTATTTAATTGATAAACAGCCTATATTCCATTTTCCCCTTCCTTTCTTTTGTTTCTTTTGTTTTGTTCTATAATTGTACCATAGTGAAAGATGCATCACTTTGAAAGTTAGTTAACCAATGACGACATTATCTGCATCAGTAATGTAATATAAGTAAGACCAAATGGCATTGAAGTTCCTCTAAGATTTGACAAGTTTTAAGAATCTCCAGTTTAGAAAGCGTCAGATAATGAAAACGTTCAAATAAACCATGTAAGGGTGGTGGCTTCTTTGCTTTCGTTTCTTGGTTATTGTCAGAGACACAAGAGTTTTGTACTAACAACACATGGGCTCCAATGTTTATCTTAATAAACTTTCACAGTCCCACCCCTGGAAGCCGTCAAGCCTCCCCCACTGAGGCTGTGGAGAGGATGGGTCCCAGTCAGACCGGTTTGGAGATGATGGGACAGCACCACCCTCACGCCCTCCAACAACACAACCCTGCCATGAACAAGGGCCCAACGGAGGACTTCCAGAATCAAGAGGCCCAGAACATGGGAGGCATGGAGCAGCAAGCCGGCGTGGAGTCCCTCCAGTTTGACTACGCTGGGAACCAGATTCAGGTGGACTCCTCCGGGACTCCAGTAGGATTGTTCGACTACAGCTCTCAGCAGCAGGTCTGTTGAAAAAATACAAAAACCTACCGATAAAGCGATCTTACTGTAAGTTTGCTCAACAGACTGTGATCTTTACTGTTTGTTTTTGTTTCTAGCTGTTCCAGAGATCTAATCCCCTGACTGTGCAGCAGCTCTCTGCAGCTCAGCAACAACAATATGCTCTGGCTGCAGCCCAGCAGCAGCATCTTGGTAAGTCGGGCTCAGTGTGTTGTGTAATACTTTTAAAACCCCCCCTTTTTTCCCCTTTCATCTAGATATATTATTACACTTGCATAGTCATTTGAATGTGAAAGCATATTGAAATATGACTAACACTACTGTTCCTTATTTACCCAGCTGGCCTCGCTCCTGCATTTGTGCCAAACCCTTACATCATTAATGCTGGCCCCCCTGGAACTGACCCCTACACTGCTGCGGGCCTGGCAGCAGCAGCCTCACTCGCAGGTGATCACGCAGAATATTATTTTAACAAATACATGAGAGTATCCATAGAATGCTGGTCTGCCTGGTTTAGCGAAAGGACAGTGTGATGAGAACGTTGTAGAAGTGTTTGTAATGTCTCAGTTCTGTCCTCAGGCCCCACAGTGGTTCCACCACAGTACTATGGAGTTCCCTGGGGAGTGTACCCGGCCAATCTTTTCCAGCAACAGGCTGCATCAAATGCCAATCACTCGGCTAATCAGCAAGCATCCAATCAGGGACCAGGGCCGGGCCAGCAACAGGTAAGTGCTGTGCTTGGTCATGCAGGGCATATTGTGATGGGGTCTGGTCCATAAATAATTATGTTGGCATCAAAACTGTGGGCTATTATTTATTTATTTATTTATTTATTTAATCAGTGCCAATTGTCAAGTCAATTCAGACCAGCTGTTGATGATTTCTTATTGCCTATATTTCTATATGAACAGCGTGTCTCCTCGTCTCCTTCATTGTACAAAAGTTTACCCAAAGTACCCCATGACTTAATTACGTCATACGAGACATATGCAGAAGGAGCTGGCTGGTTGAACAGCCGAATTGACGGCGTGCCCCTCCCGCTAACCAAAGCGCAGATTCAATTAACCTTTAAAATGTCAGCGATCCCGCAAAGATCTGTACAGTCCACATCAGAACAGATTATTTTGTTGGTTTGCAGCATTTACTCACAGTTGCAGAAATATCAATGACTGTATTATGCTAATATGTTTTTGCTACTTTTTCTCTCACCTTTCCTCTTGGGTAAACAGAGCTGTAGATCTTTGTTATATCCACCCTTTTTTTTTTTTAACATCAAATTACTTATAATATCGAAACTACTCCGTTAAAAACAACACTTTGACATAAATCATTATGATAACTATCAGCACTATTGGCATTTATTTTGATTTTATAGTCTGACCCAGGCAGGTTTTTTGCCGGGTGATCTTAATATTTTGGCTTTACTCCCAGGCTGCTCTGTCCATCTTTACATACAGTCTCTAGCCTTTCTTGTATTCCAATGTGTCTATTTCTCTAATTCTAAAACTCATGTAAAGAGCAAAAACATGGTGAAAATATGATTTAGAGTCGATGTAAAACAATGAATGAAGGTTTTCCTTCATTTTTTTTTTACTTAAAAAAAAAAAAAAAACTGCAATGCATTTTAAAAGCTATCATGTTTACTAAAAGCTGCACATATCTTTAAGAGTAAAACATGGAGCTCAGATTTCAGTTAAACAAGTACAGTCAACATTTAAATTTCATGCATGAAGAAAACGACTTTTAAAACAATGACGTACATGTGACTTATGTAAACCTGCTTTGTGAAGCAGATTGGTCTAAAATATAAGCGTAATCTGTACGGTTTAACTGTTAACCTTCTTATGTTAAACACTTGGCTTCTTAGCTTTCAGATCCAAGAAAAAAAAATGATTTTATTAGAAATGATAAAAGGGCCTCAGCAATTTTCCTCTCCTCCTATTTTTGCAAAGAGCGTTTTGTTCCCAAAGGTATAATTTAGTAACATTCTGTGAAAATGCCGTCTTTATATTTAATCATGGATACCTGAATTTGTTGTTTTGTTCTTTGGTTTTAGAGTCCATTAGTCCAGGTAGTGTTAAATAACTGGCTTTTTGTTTTGGTCAATGTTCTTCCATAAACAGTTAATGGGGGTGTGGAAATTGTATGATAACCCATTACCATGGCAACCGCTTTTGCCACTCTAGCTCTGTAGCTCAAATTGAGGTGGAGTCCTTTGTTGATGTTACTAGGCAACAGTTTTTCAAATTTGATGAAACTGGAAATCAACTTGGTTCCGGTTGAAAACAAGCCTAAGGCCGTGTTCACACTTGACTTCTTTTTTCAACTGCCAGCGCTTTTTTTACATACAAGCCTATGAAAAAGTATGACGCCTTTTTAAAAAGCGCTGCGCCCGACGCCTTTTTCAGTTGAATTATTTCAACTTGTCAGAAAAGCGCTGGGTGACGTCAAGCGCCTTTCTGACAGCTGACCAATCAGGATGAGTAATAACCTACGTCCCTAGTTGCCTGTGCCCAACAACGGCAAACTTCCACCAGATATGTGTGCATTGTGTGTCCGCTCCGGTCTGTTACGGGTCCGTGCATCCTCATCCATCCATCGTTCTCAGTCTGCAGACCGGCTGTGTTCTCAGTCTGTCCGGCTTTGCAGAGAGCTAGACAGCTGGAGTACGGAGACAAAGGAGTTTCCGCTGTAATTTAACAGATTCACTCGCGACAGCACGAGATAATACGATGTCCGTGGTATAAAACTCAATAAAAACCTTATAAATACACAAACAAACGGTCGTTTTTCTGAACCGTCAAAACGGAGGGTGTTATTCTAATAATAAACCGGATGTTTTAATGTTGTATTGGTGTCTGACTTCCCGTCCTGCTTGTTCTTTTCTGTGCTAAATTGATGCGTTGTGCTCCGGCGCAGCTCCGGCGCAGTTGCACCGTAGACTGGATCCTGTTGTTAAGGTTACAGAACACTCGCACATAAGCGCTCAAAAGGCGCTGAAGGCAGCGCTTTTTTCTGAAAAAAGAAGTCAAGTGTGAACACGGCCCAACTTGAAATCGTTTCAAACACTTCGGCAGCATTTTGTTTCTGAAAGCCTCCTTACCTTCTCCTCCAGGTGATGCGCACAGGAGCCAATCAGAGACCTCTCACACCAGGGCAAGGCCAGCAGAGTCAACAGGAGTCTCTGGCTGCAGCAGCTGCAGCAAACCCTGCGCTAGCATACGCAGGAATGCCTGGTTGGTAGTCAACTTCATGCAGCCATCATATATATGCAGCCCTACATCTTCTCTGCTTTGTTTTTCATTTTGTGTCCTCTTTTAAGGAGCCTTCTATAGTCTTTGCTGTGATTGCTGACCGTCTTTGATTCTTCAAAATTCAGGTTATCAGGTGCTGGCCCCTGCAGCCTACTATGACCAGAATGGGGCCCTGGTGATGGGTCCTGGTGCCAGAACTGGTCTAGGTGGTCCAGTTCGTCTAGTCCAGACCCCTCTCCTCATCAACGCCGCAGCAGCACAAGCTGGTAAGTACCCGTCTGTAGAGCTATGAATCTGTTGGTCTTCTTCTTTTTTTCTTTTTTTTTTTTCTTACTAGAATATTACCTTTCAACCTCAGCTCTCGTTAAACTCCTCACACTTCCCTTTCTGTCTACCTGCACCAGCAGCCGCGGTGTCAGCATCTGGCTCCGGTAACAACATGTCAGGTCCAGCTAACGGGATGTACCGCTCCATGCCTCAGCCCCAGCAGCAGCAGCAGCAGGCTCCCCCGCCCAGCAGCGGCCTGCCCTCTAGCTCATTCTACGGCTCCGGTTCGGTCCCCAACACCTCTCAGAGTAGCTCCCTCTTCTCTCACACCTCGGCTGCTCAGCAACAGGCTAGTTCCTCGCTGGGTTTCAGCAGCGCTGGTGGCTCCCTTGGTGTTGGCCTGGGCTCTGCTCTGGGTGGCTTCGGCTCCTCTGGTCAGTGAATCATCCACTTCGATTAGCTACATGTTAATTGATGAAACAGTCTGTTTTTCAAAACCTATCTTTTGTTTCTTGCAGTTTCCAGCTCTACCAGTAGCAGTGTATCTCGCAGGGATTCCTTGTTGGCTAGTTCTGACCTGTACAAACGGGGCGGGAGCAGTTTAACTCCCATCGGCCAGCCTTTTTACAACAGCCTGGGTTACTCCTCCTCACCCAGCCCCATCGGCCTCACACCAGGTCACTCCCCGCTCACTCCTCCTCCTTCTCTGCCCTCCTCTCATGGATCCTCTTCTAGCCTTCACCTAGGTAAGCATCATGGTAATATAATTAAGTGGTAGATGTTTACCTTCGGTTTGAGTGGAAACATAATGTGATGGTGGTTAACAAAATTAACTTTCTCTGCGCATCAGATAAAGAGAGAGATGAAAAAAATCATTCATCAGGATCTTGTCATTCCGTTTTCCTAGGTGGCCTGACGAATGGAAGCGGGCGTTACATTTCAGCAGCACCTGGAGCTGAGGCAAAGTACCGGAGCGCCGGCGGGACATCCAGTCTCTTTAATTCCAGCAGCCAGCTCTTTCCTCCGGCTCGGCCCCGCTACAGTCGCTCTGATGTAATGCCATCCGGACGCAGCCGCCTGCTCGAAGACTTCAGGAACAACCGCTTCCCAAACTTGCAACTGCGTGACCTGCCGGGTCACATGGTGGAGTTCTCTCAAGACCAGCATGGATCAAGGTGGCTGTGAAAGTCCTTTGGCTTGAAAATGAGTTTTAGTTTTTTTAAACTGTAAACCTTAACACGGGGATTGCCTTGCAGGGGAATTTGCTAGTCTGACTAATTTCTTCATTTCCTTCGCGACTCTTTGTTACGATCTTGTCTGTCTAGATTTATCCAGCAGAAGCTAGAGAGGGCCACTCCAGCTGAGAGACAGATGGTGTTTGGAGAGATTCTGCAAGCGGCTTACCAACTGATGACTGATGTATTTGGGAACTATGTCATCCAGAAGTTCTTTGAGGTTGGGACTGTTTTAAAGTTTATCTCTACTAACCACTTCATATCAACTTGAACACTGTGGGTGAGGCTCTAGATTCTGTAGCGTCTGGGCAACAGATTTTGTGTTATGTGTTTTTAAAGTTTGGAAGTGCGGACCAGAAGTTGGCTTTGGCGACACGTATCCGCGGGCACGTTCTCCCCCTGGCCTTGCAGATGTACGGCTGCAGGGTCATTCAGAAAGCTCTGGAGTCCATTTCCTCAGACCAGCAGGTAATTGTAAGTGAGACTTTATGTCTTTTTAATGTTTCTGCTTACATTTCTTATGGAGGTCTTTTTCCATTATCATGTCAGTATATTTCTATCTTTAATTTGAACACAGTAACATCTGTAACAATCTTTGCCTAATTTTCGCCCCCTCCAGAGTGACATCGTCCGCGAGCTCGATGGCCACGTGCTGAAGTGTGTCAAGGACCAGAACGGCAACCACGTGGTGCAGAAGTGTATCGAGTGTGTCCAGCCCCAGGCCCTCCAGTTCATTATTGATGCCTTCCAGGGACAGGTGCGTTTGTTATCATTTTCATAAGCAATGTGTTTTCTATTCTACATTTTGAGTTTGTGGAGATGGAAATCTAAAAATGCTTTAAAGACGTGTTAATGACTGCAGATGTATCTGTGCTCATGTTTTATATTAATTAAAGAATGAAGTTGGAATAAGATGTGGGGATAGAGGATGACAAGCTTTTACTAAAATCATGATGTTTTTCATTAATACAGATTCTGATGGTTTTTAGCATTTCAGAATAGACTGCTAGATATTAGACTCTAAACAAGTTTCATGAAAAGAAACATTTCTTCACTTGGGTAGTCCAAACACTGAGTTGTAAAGTCATTATTTGTTAATGAACGTGCTTGTCATGAGCAATATTAAAGATTTACTACACCAGTACTAAATGAACGTTTCTGCGCTGCGAACGACAGGACGAACATGCAGCGCTTCTCTTATGACAACAGTCTGTTGACAATGACCGCTCTCTACACTGCTCCTTTACTTTTAGTGTATGTTTACTGTTTTTTATTATTACCCAACAGAGAGGATGTGGGTACAAGACCCGATCCGTAGGCAGCAAAACTACGGGGAATATCGTACATTTGGGGAAAAAAAGCGCTGGTGACCTCAACAGCGCCTTTCTGAAAAGTTAAAAGATTTTAGCGCTCGGAGTGGCCGCACAAAAAAAGGCAGGGAACTAGAAAAAAAACATACTGGCCACTGCACATTTTCTCCAGGCAGCCGTCAGTTGTTGTAAACGCTCTCTCCATATTGAAAAAAGACACTGACGCTCAGAAAAGAAAACTCTAGATGGACATGTGGCCCAACATGGCATCTCGATATGACCTTTAATCTAGTTTATTTCAGTATAAAACTGTAGTTATGTCTTTTTATCTTTTTCTTTTCTTCTTTTTTTTAACATGCTTCTCGCAGGTGTTTGTGCTTTCCACACATCCCTACGGCTGCAGAGTTATTCAAAGGATTTTGGAGCACTGCACCCAGGAGCAGACTCTGCCCATCCTGGAAGAGCTGCATCAGCACTCTGAACAGCTGGGCCAGGTGAGCACATCTGTCTCATTTCTTAGCCCTCACTGTTTGCAGATGTAATCTCTTTCTCTGTGTTTGCTAGATGTGACTGATCATTGTTGAGATGTGTGCTTGTCTGGTATATACGCATGTCTCTTTCATGTGTTGAGCATTTCATATTATCAGCTTGTCATTGTTCCTGTGTACTGTAGACGTGCTCTGCTAAGTGTAAAGTGTAAGATAAATGTACATGTACTGTTAGCTGTCAATACATCTGACATGTTGTGATTATTTAAACATCCACCCTACCCCCCCTCACTTATTCCATCTAGAAATATCAAGGCGTTTCATTGGAGATGACACCCAAAACATATTATACAGTGTCCCGCGATGCACTGTTCAAGGTCAGAGCAATTTGCCTCTCTCTCGCGGATGTCCCCGTGCTCCTCTCTTCCTTCTTTTTTTTTTAATTTTCTCTTTTGTTAAGAGTCTTAATTTAACATTTAGCTAGCGCTCCGACTCCCAACTTTTATGAGCCCTTTCCTAACCCACTGAGCCGCCTCTTTCTCTTCTTTTCCTCCCTCTTGCTTTACGCCACAAGGGATTCACCAGGCACATGCTTCCCCCACTGTCTGATGATTCTATCTTTAGCCTACAGCATCTCCTGTTCAATCTGTTTTTCTGTTTGCATCCTAATTTCAACAAAACCGAATTCTCCGGTTTAGTAATAAAGCGATCAAGAGTAGCGCTTTGAATTACTGGTTACTTGATCTTGAGCTCGACATTAAGGCTTAATAATGCAGATGATCTAGTTAAAACAGATTGACGAGAAATGCATTAAAAGGCAAATACTTTCAAAATGAAAGGTTACCTACCCAACAACAAAATGCCAGAGTGTTGTTATTTGTTTGTCCATCTTGTCACTCTGAAATTACACCCATAATGTCCATCACCCATTTCTGAAGGGGCAAAGATTCTACTGGTTGTGTTAACTACCAGCAGCATCTCTTTTGTCTGACCTTCAGCAGTGATGACGTAAGGGTTAATTTAAAGACTTGAAGTGGGGGTGTCACTCATTCGTCTCTCATCGTACAGATGCATGATTCTCTAGTGCATGAGTTTCAATCAGACTAAAAACAGGTGTCTCACAGATTCTTTGTGATCATCATCATTTATTGAAAAGGGACATTTACCTCGAGCTCATGCCTACACTACCCCCTACAGGATCAGTACGGTAACTACGTCATTCAGCACGTTCTGGAGCACGGCAGGCCAGAGGACAAGAGCAAGATAGTCGCAGAGGTTCGCGGAAAAGTACTCGTCCTCAGCCAACACAAATTTGCCAGGTGAGTTTTCTTTTCATTACGATCACCTTTAAATATTCCATAAACTTTGGCACTGTTTTATTAAAACGTTGGTTTCACCAGGATTGTAGTGCAACAGCCAGCATAAGAAAATGTTGGTCAATTCTGTGTTCAAAGCAATCAGGTTTAATATTTTGTGTTGAAAATCTTTCAATTTAAATCTTATTATTCAGTCTCAAATGTCCAGCTCACATTAAACAAACTCAACAACAAAGATTTTTTTTTTAATGGTTGTTTTTTAGATTCTTGAAGAAAATAAATGTTAACTGAGAGTTTGTTGCCTGATTGAACTGTGAAAATATCGTGCTAAGAAAGTAGAGGGGTTTAACAATGCCTTGTGAAAAGCATGATGAACTCCATCCAAAACAAAGATTTGGACATATCTTCAAACCATAAAATATTTTTTTTCCCCTTTACCTATAAAGTAAAGGATTTGAGGTTTATGGGAGGCAAGTACTGTATACTAAAATGTTAATTTCATGCCTTAAAGTTGAGGGCCCTTTGTTTTTTGTTTTTTGCAAAGAGGCCTTACAGACTGCCTATTCTTGGGCTTGTGTTGATCTGCAATGGCTAACTAATGATAAAGAAGTGCCTCTCTTTCTGCCCTCCCTGTGGTTGGACTCAAGCCATACTAGCATCTAAATAATTGAGTTGTTATTCATTTGATGCATCGCCCACTGGAGCCAAATGGCGAAATAAAAGCATCCTCCGTGGTAGGCTGGTGCTGCATCTCCTTCAGCTCACTTATGGATTTGTTTGTAACGGAAGCTTTTTTTTCTCTCTCTCTCTCTCTCTCTCTACGTGTTTCCTTAGTAATGTTGTGGAGAAGTGTGTGATCCACTCTTCACGTGCAGAGAGAGCCCTGCTCATAGACGAAGTGTGCTGCCAGAAAGACGGGCCTCACAGTGCCCTTTACACCATGATGAAGGACCAGTATGCCAACTACGTCGTCCAAAGAATGATCGACATGGCGGAACCTGCTCAACGCAAAATCATTATGCACAAGGTGGGTTACCTACCAAACTAGTGTGAGCAAACATAATAGAACAAGGGGGGTTGGTAAGTACATCAGGAGTGTGTACAGTGTGTATGATGGTAAGCTTACGCCCAGTGTTCACCGTACGATTTGTAGGAAAAAGCTTGTAGCTGATATCAGCTCACACTGTACCACTGTATATTATACGATGCACGATTAAAGCTCCTAATTTAGATTTGTACGACCTGATTTTTCGGGCACGACCTGAAAATGAGGAATTAACAGGACAGAGCATTCACAATTTTCAATAGAAAAAAAAAAACAGATTTCAGTTGTCTCATGCACAGCTCAAAACAAAAGTAACTACAGAATAAATCTTGAGGATTTTTTTGCTTTGTCGCTAATAAAGAGGCATCAATATAAACGTCAGCCTGTTTCATAAAAACAAAACTTAGATGCTTACTGACTGAAATTATTAAAAGTGATCTCACCCAGTTTGAGTTAAATCAGTTTTGAGATAGATTCATTGTCTTTTTTTTTTTTTTTTTTAGATCACTCTGATCAGTCTTGTTACAAAAAGTCTTCAAAACTCAGAGTGTAAAACATGTTAAAGTTAAATGTTCTAACTTCTCCACCTCAGTCTTTTCACTTGGTATAAAGGAAGGTGATTTTTTTTTCTTTCAGAGTAATTAACATTGATTTTGTTCTGCTTGTGCTGCAACACTGTACTCAGCAATTACATTTTATTTTTTGCTGAGTATTTTTTTTTTTTTTTTAGATCTATAAATCTAAAAAAAAAAGTTCTGTCTGTTAGAAGCTAAGCTAAAACCTTTTTGTCTGATCTAAAAATGTCTTTTAAGTTTTTGAGCTCATTGAGTCGATCTCCTACTTGTTTGATAATTTTCACTCGGCTGTGTTTTTTCTGACCTCTGTCCTCTCTGTCTTCTTAGATCCGGCCTCACATCGCCACTTTACGCAAGTACACCTACGGGAAGCACATTCTGGCCAAACTAGAAAAGTATTACATGAAGAGCGGCTCTGAGCTGGGTCCCATCGGCGGCCCGACAAACGGCCTCATGTAGTCCCGTCGACACTCGGGTTCCCCTGAAGAAGAGAAGGAGCCCCATACCCCTGTTCTGTGAGAGATGCTCCTTAGCCATAGGGGTTAGCCTTCGACACCCTCTGTCGCCCCCCTTTTTTTTTTTTTTTGAGGGGAATTACCAAAAAAACAAACAAAAAGAAGACAAGTCAACTCACCTAAGAACGCTGTGACAACTGACCCCTGTTGCTCTGCCGCCCCTGGTGCAGCCCAGCGCGGCCCCCAGGGGACGCACAGTCAGCAGGGTACTTTTTTTTTTTTTTTCCTCTTTTTTTCTTGGGTAAAGCACAAGCCCATTGTTAATGATGTTATTGATGTATTTGACTGGTTTTCATATTATCTTGTACATTTAGTTTTTTACCTTGTAAATTCTCTGTAGAAACACAAAACTTATTACACATTTGCTCAAATTTACAATTCCTACAATTAACACCAGCAAGTGATTTTATAAGGCTGAACTGAGTGAACCTTTTAAGAGAAAAAATACAAACAATTTCACTTGTTTTTTGTAACTAGACGTATTAAGTCAGCTGTTCTAACAGACGTCCAGGCAATTAAATCTTATATTTGTATATTACCCCGTGCACAGTAAAATTTCTCCCATGCCAAAGCAGCTGATGGATTAGTTTTTCATATAGGCATAAGTGATCCAGAGGGATTTAAACCCCTCTATCCACAGGGGACTACTACTTGTCGGTGCCACCGTCACTCAAAGGTCTCTTCAGACCAGTTTGCAAGCTCGGCTTTGGGGATTGGTGCTCTACTCCTAGGGTCGTGTTTTTTCAGATGGTGGCTTTTTCTCACCTCTTTTTCCAGGCTTACGTTTGGGGCCCCTGTTTACTCAGCAGCTTGATGATTCGGTACTATATATTTCAGACTGACCAACCTGAGCTGCTGCATTCAATGAGCCCTCACTTTGAGCCGTCTTTTCCCTCATGCAGAGGATCATTGGGGGGGGGGGGGGTTATGCTAGAATTAAAAAAAAAAAAATCTACAGTTAAATTATAGAAGCGGAGCATGAGGTTTGGTTGTACAGCGGGCGTGTAACCTGGTTTAATATTAACATGAAATGAGTAGTGCGGGGGGCCTTTTTCGTGGGGATAGTTGGGTGGGAGTGGGCTATGTGTTGGCATGCTGTGACAGGTTTTAATCCTTGGAATGATTTTTTTCTTTATCATGTTTTGTGTAACATCTTATGTCTTGTAGTTTGAGATGAACACTGCCCAAGAAAACGGTATCTTTATGTACTGAATAATCATCTCTTGCATAGAAGTAGTTTAGCGATGTATAGCATTTTTACGTACGAGTAAATTGTTGCTTTTTGGGTAGGGGGGCTAGCAGCAGTGATGGGACCCCCACCGCCTGAAGGTTAGAGTAAGGAAACAACATGTTGTGAGCTTATCCCAGCTTTGTACATCTGAGGTGACATGAACGAGAGCTTGTGGGATAACTTTGAGAAAGGGATGCTGGAGGAATATTTTTAATGGCTCTGTTTCTGTTTTTTTAAACAACTTTTCTTTCTTTCTTTTTTTTTTTCCATTTGATTGGGTATGCAAGTGCATAGGTGCAGGCCGGTGGGGCCTTTTAAAGCTATACAAATCACCTGTAATGCTCGTAGTGATGGCTTCTTTGCTTCATATGAATAATTGTAGAATACATGTAGTATATGTGCAGTTAATAAGTGTAAGATTATTAGTTAAATTGAAAAAAAAAATGTCTAGTCGTGGTGTTTGACAGGCCTTGCTCTAAATTTGTAGTGATGCTTTTATTTTGTCTGTACAGTTGTACATTTGTAAACGTTGATGCTGTAAATGGGATGTCTTTTACACTTTTTTGGGGAGAAAAAGGCAAAAATTGTGCATTTTGATGTGTGTATATTCATCACTCCTTTCCCCCTTGAATATAATGTATACAGTTTTATTTGATCAAGTGTTATTTTAAAGAAAAGAAGACTCTATGGCTTCATAATCTGGCATAGTTTTTTTTTTTGTTTTTAATCCGCTTTGGGAAAGGCCAGCCTCTATTTGTACTGGAGCTGTAACATCCACTGTTGATAGTCTTTCTGATGTGTGACAGTTTAAAAAGAAGAAAACAAAAACACTCTGTACTCAAAACAGAGGCTGCATTTAGTCCTCTCTGCTACCATGGAAACTTCACAGGATATGACAAGAATTATTTTTGTACAGAAGAGTGCTGTATTTTGGAACAGCTACTACCTTGTAAGCAAAAGCAATGTAAAATATTGTCAATTATATAAATATGAACATATGAGTTTTGTCACACTGTCAAAGTCATGTACATTTTCAGGTGGCCTTATGTACATTTCCAGATGTTAGATGAAGAAAACAAACTCATTTTTGGAAGCAGAATTGTGACTATGTATGATTAAACTGTTCTTCTAACATTTGACCCGCATGGTTCTGGTTTCTCTCATGTTTGTAGTTTTTTTTTTTTAAATGTTTTATTCTTAAGCATGAGTTACTCTGAATAATCAGCATCCAACTAAAAAAAAGTTGCCTCGACAGGTTTGGATTTACTTAAAGGTATATATTGTCAGTAGAACTATTCCAAACTTAACTTTGAATGATTATTTGTGACAGAAATTCTGATTAATTATTTGTTCTGAGAATGATTTAATGGTGACGTGAACATAGCGAGCTCAGTTCTCTCTCAAAAACATCTGAGGGGAAAAGAAAAACTGATGCGCCCAAAATATTTACTATATTATACTATTTTAAGATACTTGAGTGTTTTGCGCTACTTTGTCGTTCTACTCTTTCACATTTCAAACAGTTAATGTACCGTATACTCTTGTACCCTGCACCAGAACATTTAAAGCATCTATAGCTGCTTTCTAAGTAAGATTTTGCATAATCTATCATAAAGTTATTTTTTGTATTTAAGGGAAGTATAAGCTGAAATGGAAAATAATTTACCATTGTTCATCCAGAGGCACATCAAACTAAATGTGGTTTCTAAATCCTCATTGCACGAGGTCTACTTCTCTTGAGTATTTACATTTTCAGGTACCTTTTATATGTATACTCCATACAAAGTCAAAGGCATATATACTTCTTACCTCATAACATTTAGTTTGTTACCGTATTCTAATTCAAAAATTAAAACACTTTTTTATTTTGGTACTTTAACTTTATTTCAACGCAAATTTCTCCTGGCGCTGTTTTTTATTTATGGTTGAATTTTTTGATAATGATTTTTCATAGAATTCAAAGATTTGAACACTTTATCCATCAATGTACCTGAGGAAGGACACATTGTTTTATCTCAGGGCATGTGTTCAAGTTTAATGTGCCATTGAAGTGGTTTGCTGATAAAGTGAAGTTCATAAAACCAGTAAATTATTGTTGTTTTTTTTGTAGTTCTCTGTAAACACTATAACTGAAGTTCATGTTGTTTTTCGTGGTTTATTGGTGGGCGTGGTTTCTCAGCCCTGCCGTCAATGAAAATACCTGATGAGGTCCTGAGACGAGAGAGAGAATAAGATAAACCGGTCGCCGAATCGACTGAAACATGAGGACACCCCTGACTGCCTGTTTTTGTATAGCTTTGGTGTTTATATACCCAGCTCATACGTCGGTAAGTCATTTAAATTCTGTTTAAATAAGTCAGACAAACATTTTTATCAGCTACCTCAATCTCGTGCTCACCTTTATCACTTCCTGAAGTTAGCAAGGGCTTGTTACTGACATACCAAGGTGTGTTTATCTTAGAGCATAGGCTGTATGTAAGCTTTGGTTGTGGTTAATGTTCGAAGCCCTGATACGTTTTTTTCAAAGAGTGTATTTTATTTACAGCACTTTAATTTGTTAATTGTCATTTGTGTGTTTAATTTGATAAAGGTTTATTTAAACTCATTAGACGCTCATTGGTTGGTGTCAAGGTGATTATTTCCGTCTTCGGAATAAAATGTCTGGGGGAAAAAAACAAAAGTGTGCGTAGAAGTCAAGATGTTAACAACCACAGGCAGTGCTTTTAGTCAGAGGACATCTCACTTCTCATTTTGTGGGGACTTTAAAAAAAAAAAATGGTGAAATTACCTGTGGCTTTGGAATTCCATTGAAGTTGTTTCCATTTTTACAAACTAACAGCATATTTATTACATAAATATTTAATAGTTCCACCATAATATGTTTTGACCTGTTTGCCCGAGGCTTATGGACATTAACACATCAGTGCTATATCCAAAATGTTTACTTATAAAAGCACATAAATTAGGGTTGTTGAATGACCCTGTTCACTACTCCAAGACTGATATCATTTCATTCCAGTGTTTAATTGTTACTCAAACATTAACGTTCAAGAGTCTTCTGATTATGATGTAAATTTGACATATTGTGTGTGTATTAAACAACGTAGATATTAAATTAAAGGCTATGAAAAATGCATTAAAATACTAAGTAAATAAAGTAGTGTATGAGAAACTACAATATTTACCTGTTAAAAGTAGCATGATGTAAAGCAATGTAAATATTGCAGTAAAGCTACTTTTAAACCCCAGTATAACATACAGTACTTTCTTTCCTTCCACCAGTGAAATTTGGCCAGCTGTAGGTGCGGCACTGCCACAACTTCAGTTTAGTTCAATATTTTTTTATCAGCATGACTGTAACAGTGACAAAAATGCGCTGTTGACTCACAGCAGGGAGGTTACTGGTTCGAATCCCCTCTGTTTGGAGTCTGCACGGGTTCTCTCCGGCTTCCTCCCACAGTCCAAAGACATGCTCGTTAGGTTAATCGGTGACTCTGAAATTGCCCGTAGGAGTGATTGAGAGTGTGACTGGTTGTCTGTCAGCCCTGTGATTGCATCATCCATTGGTGTACCCCGCCTCTTGCCCAAGACTTAATGCATCATTCAAGCTTCATGACTTGTGTTTCCAGCAGAAACATTGTGTGCACAGACGGTTAACACACAGACAACATTAATACAATTTAACATCCAGGAAGTACATGAGATTATTGTTGGTATTTATTTTCAGATTTGTGTCTATCCACCTGGCTTTAATATTAAAGTCTAAACACAAATTTGAAATTTCCTCCACCGATCTACACCCAACCTTTGGAGCATCAAATCTTCATTCTCTGCAGCCTTTCAAGCTCTCTGGAAAACATTCAGAGTCTGAAGTACTTTGCAATGGTTACACTGAACACAGCTTATAAAGTCCCCATCACTGAGTTATTTGGCCCAGTATAATGCTCAATTTAATTTTAATTTAATTTAAGGTAATATTATTGCAGCATTACTTGAGCCTTGAGACTTTAAATGCAAATTGATGAGTCAAATAAGAAGCATTTACTTTTAAGAGCTTTCTAACGTGATGCTGAACAGCTAAACACAAAACTAACAGACTGTGTTATTTTCCCTTTACTGCTTTAACCAAAGGGTGTGGTAGTTATACTTTAATTCAAGCTATATTCTCAACTCATTAACTTTATCTGTGATAACATGTGCATCATCGTGGGTTTGGCAGCCACAGATTGTGGGACTTTGTATCTGGACTGTGATTCATGTCTTTATTGCTTTCTTCTGGAAAGTACCTCTAAACGCTTCCTTAACCTCTTGTTTGTTTTCACATTGCTAATAATAAGACAGGAAGCACTATTTTTGTACTCTTAGTCAGCAGTGAGCCACATATTTATCCTCATCTCCTTTTTCTTCTTCCATGTCATTAGGTCTCTGGCACTCCTGAAGACCTGGAGGGATCAGGATATGACCTGGACAGTTCTGCGTCCGGTTCAGGGGATTGGTTAGAAGATGGTAATGCTGAGTACCATAAGAAAATTGTTCGTCATCCAATTTACATTGTGTCCATTTTTGCAAACGGTATATTTAATTATCTCCGTTTTCAATCTCATCAGGGGAAGATGAAGTAAACGAGGAAGTCCGAACTTTAACAGAAATCCTGGACGATGGAGCCAAGAATCCCTCACATGTATGCCATGACTTTTTTTTCCCACTGTTGTTCATCTTAAAACAATGACACGGCAGGGATATACTGTGATGTCATGTGACTGTTCCATCTTTTGTCTTCAGGGTTCTTCTTTCATGACCTTTGACAAATCACAGTGGCCCCCAAAAGACAGCTACGTTATTTTGGCCAACAGGAAAAGTCTTTTGGAGAACCAAGAAGTCGTTGGCGGTACGTCCAATATGATGATCTGAATTTCATCAGAGTAAAACTATGTGTAAATGTCTCTTAACTCAGTAATTGATGTTTACAGGAGTTATTGCAGGAGGAGTAACCGGATTGATACTTGCAGCTACAGTGGCAGCCGTATTGATCTACAAATGGTGGAAGAAAGATGATGAAAGATACACTCTGGGCCAGCATAGAGCTTCAGACGAATATTATCACAGACAGAGCAGAGATGAAATCGTTGTTGTTTGAATGTTAACAAAACATTCACATCATGTTTTTTTAATGCCATCATCTCACATACCGGAAGCTACTGTGGGAGGTGGTTGCATGGGGAATAGCAGTTATTGTAGCACTTAATTCACTGTATATGCTGTTGCTCTTTAATCATTTATTTATAGTTGCAGACTATGAAAGATTATTTTATATAACTATTCTTTTACAAAGCTTTCATGTGAGGCTTTGACCTGGTAAGACCTCTTATAGACTATACGAGAGTGTACAAATGGAAGACATGAATGTCACAGTTAACACAGGTTCAGTGAATCAAATGAATGATGGCCGCATTCCTTTTAGCTGTTGTAGGCACTGTCACACCGTCACACATAATAGGACACTGAAATGGAACAGAGAACTGTGAATGTAAGCAGAAACACCTTAACTACTCTGTTAAGAAAACTCTCTGCTGCACAAAAAGCCTTTTAGCGTACCTTTTTGGTGGCTCCCACAACTATATATTTACATGTGTTGGATCCACTGTGTTGAGCAGAAAACCTCAGTGTTCACCTCTAAATGTTTGGCTTAATGACCCATGTGATATATGAATGAAGAATCAAAACTCGTTTGGGGTTGTGAATATAAATAATGATTTGGTAAGGATGATAGAGCTGCTAACATGTAATATGTTATTTTGTCAAGATGTGAAATAATCACTATTTTTATAGTCTTTAATTTTTAATAAATTATTACTGTTTAAATCCTTAATATATTGTTATTTTGTAGCGGCATTATATTGTAAATATTGTCTGTTTAAACTTATTTAAGACAATGAGAGATCATTATGTAGCCTACATATTAATACACAGTTATATTCAATAAAAGATCAGTGCAGTACAGTGATTTTTATATTCACACCAAACTGTTGATGAAACTTGCTTGGATCTATTCTCCTGATCTTTATTCATTGTTTCATCCTCATGACTCTGATGAAGGCCACAAGCTGAAACCTGTCGGTCTAATTTGTTAATAAAATTAATCTTTGTGCTACAAGTGTTGCTGGAGGTTTTTGACCTCTTCCATTGTTTCACCTATCCATGATTATTTTGAAGTAATGTGGTAATGTGTAAACAGTCTATGGTGTAAACAGGTTTATGTTTTTCTTGCTGTCTTTAACCGTATTTGATCTCTGTCATGCATGTTCTTCTCTTTTTATTCATGTAGCCATATGTAGTCTCATTTTGCTCCCATGTATGATGAGATTATTTTATGGAAGTCATGATAAATTTAATTTTGATCTTGAGTTATTACAAAGGGCTCTGGAAAAATGCTCAAAAAAACACACAATATATAAACAAATAATACATATAAGAGGGGTAATCTATCATCATCAACCATCAACCTTTATTTAAGTTCTCGGAGAGATCATTGAGGGCGACCCTCATTTACAATGATGCCGAGAAAACATACATAAATGATAAACAATGAGAAATTAGATAAAGCTACTACAGAAAATAAAATCAATAAAAGAGCAATAACAACAATAAAATATACACACTAAAATAATTTAAAAGCTTGAAATTACTACAGTGTTAAGTCAGTAATTCAAATTAAATAAAACAGTTACAGTCAGGTATTGGGCGGCTAAAAATAATATTTCTAAAGTGTCCATAAGGGATAAAAGTGCTCAAATTCAGGTCCTGTTGTAAAATATTCCAGGAGTTTGAAGCACTAACACTAAAAGCAGTTTTCCCCAGGTCAGTCCTGGCATGAGGAACCTGGAGAACCAGCCTCTGGAGCGGGTTAAAAATGGACCAGGGTTCAGATGTAACAAGGTGATATATGATGGAAGCTTTCCAGTAAGGGCTTTATAGATAAAAAGAGACAAAAGTGCGTCAGTAATGGATGTACAGCAATCAAGATACACGAATAGAAATCTGCAAAAAGTTAAAGTAGTCTACCAACAAGGCCCCTGTGCCCATTAACGATAAGGTACCAAGGAGCATCTGAGTGCTTTCCTGACCTGATTGGTGATTAAACCTTGTCTTTAGACAAATCTATCATATGCAAAAATTTATGTCAGGCTGCATGGGCGGTTCTAGGCAGGGGCCAACAGGGGCCACTGACACTGAGCTGGGCCCCCCCCCTTTGGCCACCCCTCGAAAACGAAGAGCCCCCCCCCCCCTCCCAATAACACTATACACAATATTTGACTCAACAACCAGACTCACAATCTACTGTGATATAACTGAAACAAATGTAAATCATGGTATTTAATGATGTGTGCTATTATTTGGCATAATATTTTGCTTTTAGTTTCGTTAGTTGCTTTGTTGATTAAATTTATTTTTATTTCTATTTTTTCTTCTTGTAGCACTTTGAGATTTTTTGGGAAAAATGTAAAGTGCGTTATAAATTAAATGTATTATTATTATTATTATTATTATTATTATTATTATTATTATTAATAATAATAATAATAATATATTTTTAAAGTGATTATCTTTGTCTATTCTTCACCTGGGTTTAATGTTCCCCTCTGACAAAACAACTGGCCCCCAGTTTGGCCCCCCCTCAGTAAAAGTGGACTAAAACCACCACTGTCAGGCTGCCAATCAATGTATTGATTACATTTCATCAAAATGCACGAAAATGGCTCAAATGAAGTGATAATTGTAATTTCTTCATAACCATTGGATCAAATCCCTGTCAGTCAAAGTGAATCCTCTTAAGCCCCGCCTCTTCCGGCCCGTCAAAAGCGTTTGTTTTTGGTGGGCGTTCCTCCGTCATCGTTAGCTGACTTTGTCGATGGTGAGGAGATTTTTTTTTTTTCTCTCCCCCCCCCTCTTCACTAACAGCTCCGCCGATGTTTCTTCCTACGCTCGTGGAGGACATGCATCACTTCAAACCCAGTCGAGACAGATTGTACATCACCAGGTGTTGTGGATGTTGCCATGTCCGGACGGGGACCATCATCCTGGGAACGTGGTACATGGTACGTAAAATGGTTGATGGGAGTCAGGCGAGCTAACAATGCTGGCTAGCGCCGTCCAGAAGAAAAAAAATGCACGGAAGTCTTTCCGAAGCAGCGAGTTAATATCGTGTATCGTTGAAAAAATGCAAACTGGAAAGTATCAAGAAAAGCACAATGTAGACAATAACTACTCGCAGCTAACACGTGGGAAGGACATTTTGACTAAATGTTGTGTAGGACATTAGCCTGACTTAGCAACCCGACACACCGCTGAGACTGTCAAATCACAACAAGCTGAATTCACTTCCATATATATATTTTTTCCCCCACATGCATCTGGATTAGATCACATTTGCAGCTGGAGTCGATAACTTTATGTCTCTTATGCTATCCTGAATGAGTCGTTGCCCTCTGCCCATTTTTTTTTTTTTTTTTGAAGCTGGTTTCTGCAGCATTGTGATGCAAACCCACAGCTGAGTTAATCTCTTCTCCTTTTGGCGACATCACATAACACATGACCCTGTTTTTTTTTTATTTTGCTTGCGTTTCTTCATAAATCCTCTCTGAAGATTTTTTTTTTTTTTGCCAGCTGGACAATGTTTGACTCACTAAAACACGTGAGCCACGTTTCTGTCTCCCCCCCCACACACACACACACACACACACACACACACACACACACACACACACACACACACACACACACACACACACACAGAGCACTCAGACACCTGTGTTCAGTGGATGTTCAAGTCTCGTACTAAAACCACTCGTTTTCTTCACTTGATTTCTAGTTTGCTGGTAAAAGCTGTACATGTGATGGATTTGTTTATTTATTTTTGTTGTTGTGCCTCTTTAATTTAGTTTAGTTTAGTTTAGTTTATTTGCACATTTTTTTGAAAGAAGGATCAAACAGAAAATAAAAAATAAAACACATGTGCAGGTGAGGTAGAAACCAATGAGGGCGTATCTCAAAACCTCACTTTAAGAGATTAAAGTAAAAGTAAAAAACAACAGAGTATTTACTATCACAAATACAATTTACCCAATTGAAAATGACTTGATGACTTAAAGGGCTGTGTTCAGATATTTCAAGTTTAAGAAAATGTACAAGAACAAAGTTGTGAGACGGTATGAAAGTGGCATTTTGTGTGTGTTTTCCTTCTACTTTCTGAGGAAGTAAAGACTGAATTGTCAGATTTGTTTTATGTTGGCATGATATTCATTCACTGACTGTAATTGGACAGAACCATCCAGATATTTCTTGTTTGCTTTTTGAGTAAGGGGGGCAGGCGAAACAAGAATTATTCTTCTCCCTGCTCCTTTCCATACATGGGATAAAGTGTGATTTTTATTTTTATTTTTATTTATTTTTTCTCCCTTTTCTGTTGTGTGTTTTGACATGAAATGAAATTAAGGAGTATGAGAGGCCAATCCATTTGTATGTGTTGCTAAGGGACTTTTTTAAGTCGGCTGTCAAGTGTAAACATGTTCAATAGCCCCGACTTTCTTAAAAAGATTTACTACAAATCCATTGTGATCTTGAGCCTCTCAGCTTTGTTGACTTCTGTAAACAAACAATTGGTCGTCGCTTCACGACATTAACTTTGATCACAAAGTGTCTCTCTCCTCCCACACACTGATTTGAAGGACTTATTTTTCTTTGAACATTCAGACCACTTGTTGAAAGAAAATACTAATGTTTGAAGGATTGGTCAGTAAACGCTGACTCCCAGTAAGCCGGTCTGTACTTAAGGTTGTAAACGTTTTCACCCAGCCTCTTCTTGAAGTTGTCAGAATACATGGAGCGTTAAACACGGTTGATAAAGAGAGTATCTTAAAGTCTTGAAGTGAAGTGGACAGACGGTCTTTGCATAACTTTTAGTCTGTGTTAAAGTCCTGACATTGATAATAGTGTTTTGTTTAGTCCATTACTCTCTTGGTACAGTCCACTTTCAGTTCCCTTTTCATAATCACATTTCTCGTCAAAACAATTTTTTTTTTATTCAAAGCATTAATGAAGTTTCCTTTTTCCTTCCTTCCAGTTAATCGTTAGTTTCAGTTAATTCCAGGCAGTATGGGTAATGTCATTTCCTGCAAAATTGCTACAACTGGTTGTTTGTGGTGTAGAGTTTATTTTCTCAGCTACTTGTAAATGCAGCGTTTGTCCCATCGGAGAGTCCTTGAGTTCTTCAGATGGCTTTCCTCATGGCTGCATTCTCACATGACGATAACGTAACCTTGGAGAAAAAAAAAATGGGGAATGAACTGTTTGCTGTTATCTTTCCTGTTTCGTCCTTGTCTTAGCGAGTGGATTTCACACAGCATTCACACAACAAACCTTCAAAAGCCATTCCAAGCCGTGTTTTGAAAGTGTCCGTTTTGCGAAAGGTGTCCTTTTTTCATATTTGAATTTCTTGTAAAAATCTGTCTTCCTCTCTGCAGGTTGTCAACCTGTTGATGGGCATCCTGCTGACTGTAGCTGTGACCCACCCAGAGAATGTGCCCACTATTGACTTGCAGTATGAGGTCATCGACCACTACTTTGCCTCTGACAGGATGTCTGGTAAGTAGTGACAATCTAAGTGAGTTATTGCATGGCCTAACAGACTGGATTCATGCTCGTGTAACTATTCAAGTCATAGTTAGAAACATTTTAGAAGTGTAGCGAACAGGTTTTCCACTTGCCCATGAGGTTGTCATGTGACTGACTTTCCACAGGGAGCACAGTTCCCCCCCCCAAAACAAGTCATGAGGTCAACAGGGCCCTGCTGTACATGTTATTGGTGTGCTGTTACTTTGTACTTCCTTAATGAGTGTGTGGATGCTGGCTGGCTGTTTGTATTTGCATGCAGGGCTGGCGAGACGATCCGAGCGCCTTTTCTTTCTAGCTGTTGGTAGTTTTGTAGTCACTTCATCATTCTCAGAAACAGTGACTCAGCAGGGGAGGAAGGGAACCAACTGGGATGGGTTGACCTTCCCACAGCATGCTAATGCCAGCGCAGAGCGCAGCGGAGGTTGTCCACAGCCCGCAGAGCCAATGTTTGTTTGTTCCACATAATAGGGCCGTGAATAAAAA